GAAGGTTCTCATTATCCATCCTGTCATTTTTCTAGCAGATGCGATTGATACAATGTTATGGTCCTTGAAGGTGAGATCCTCCGACATAATCACTCCCAGGTCTTTGACGTTGGTGTTTCGCTCTATTTTGTGTGCCAGAATTTGTTTTGTACTCTGATGAAGATTTAATTTCCTCATGTTTACCATATCTGAGTAATTGAAATTTCTCATCGTTGAACTTCATATTGTTTTCTGCAGCCCACTGAAAGATTTGGTTGATGTCCGCCTGGAGCCTTGCAGTGTCTGCAATGGAAGACACTGTCATGCAGATTCGGGTGTCATCTGCAAAGGAAGACACGGTGCTGTGGCTGACATCCTTGTCTATGTCGGATATGAGGATGAGGAACAAGATGGGAGCTAGTACTGTGCCTTGTGGAACAGAGCTTTTCACCGTAGCTGCCTCGGACTTTACTCTGTTGACGACTACTCTCTGTGTTCTGTTAGTGAGGAAATTATAGATCCATCGACCGACTTTTCCTGTTATTCCTTTAGCGCGCATTTTGTGCGCTATTAGCGCATGGTCACACTTGTCGAAGGCTTTTGCAAAGTCTGTATATATTACATCTGCATTCTTTTTGTCTTCTAGTGCATTTAGGACCTTGTCGTAGTGATCCAGTAGTTGAGACAGACAGGAGCGACCTGTTCTAAACCCATGTTGCCCTGGGTTGTGTAACTGATGGGTTTCTAGATGGGTGGTGATCTTGCTTCTTAGGACCCTTTCAAAGATTTTTATGATATGGGATGTTAGTGCTATTGGTCTGTAGTTCTTTGCTGTTGCTTTACTGCCCCCTTTGTGGAGTGGGGCTATGTCTGTTGTTTTTAGTAACTGAGGGACGACCCCCGTGTCCATGCTCCCTCTCCATAGGATGGAAAAGGCTCGTGATAGGGGCTTCTTGCAGTTCTTGATGAACACAGAGTTCCATGAGTCTGGCCCTGGGGCAGAGTGCATGGGCATGTCATTTATCGCCTGTTCGAAGTCATTTGGCGTCAGGATAACATCGGATAGGCTTGTGTTAATCAAATTTTGTGGCTCTCTCATAAAAAATTCATTTTGATCTTCGACTCTCAGTCTGGTTAGCGGCTTGCTAAAAACTGAGTCATATTGGGACTTGAGTAGCTCACTCATTTCCTTGCTGTCATCTGTGTAGGACCCATCTTGTTTAAGTAGGGGCCCAATACTGGACGTTGTTCTCGATTTTGATTTGGCATAGGAGAAGAAATACTTTGGGTTTCTTTCGATTTCATTTATGGCTTTTAGTTCTTCCCGCGATTCCTGACTCCTAAAGGATTCTTTTAGCTTAAGTTCAATGCTTGCTATTTCTCTGACCAGTGTCTCCCTGCGCATTTCAGATATATTGACCTCTTTTAGCCGCTCTGTTATTCTTTTCCATCGCCTGTAAAGGGAGCGCCTGTCTCTTTCTATTTTACATCTACTCCTCCTTTTTCTTAGAGGAATAAGCCTTGTGCATACATCGAGTGCCACCGAGTTAATCTGTTCTAGGCATAAGTTTGGGTCTGTGTTGCTTAGTATATCTTCCCAGCTTATATCGGTTAGGACTTGGTTTACTTGGTCCCACTTTATGTTTTTGTTATTGAAGTTGAATTTGGTGAATGCTCCCTCGTGACTAGTCTCATTTTGTCGTCTGGGGCTCCACGCATACATGTCTGAACCTCAATTATGTTGTGATCTGAGTATATTGTTTTTGATATGGTGACATTTCTTATCAGATCATCATTGTTAGTGAAGATGAGGTCTAGTGTATTCTCCAGTCTAGTAGGCTCTATTATTTGCTGGTTTAAATTGAATTTTGTGCAGAGATTTAAAAGCTCGTGTGAGTGTGAGTTTTCATCAGAGCTGCCTCCTGGTGTTATTACTGCAACAATATTATTTGCTATATTCCTCCATTTTAGGTGCCTTAAGTTGAAATCCCCCAGGAGCAAGATGTTGGGTGCAGGAGCTGGAAGATTTTCCAGACAGTGGTCAATTTTTAACAGCTGTTCCTGGAATTGCTGGGATGTTGCATCCGGAGGCTTGTAGACTACCACAATGACTAGGTTTTGGTTCTCGACCTTTACTGCTAAAACTTCCACTACGTCATTTGAGGCATTAAGCAGTTCTGTGCAAACAAGTGACTCTGCAATGTACAGGCCAACCCCCCCCTTTTGCCTGTTCACTCTGTCACATCTGTATAGGTTGTAACCTGGGATCCATATTTCGTTGTCCAAGTGATCCTTTATGTGGGTCTCAGTGAAAGCCGCGAACATTGCCTTTGCCTCTGCAAGCAGTCCACGGATGAAACGTATTTTGTTGTTTGTTGCTGGCTTTAGACCCTGTATATTTGCAAAGAAGAATGTTATCGGACTGGTGGTATTGTTGGTACTGGGGGGGGATTTTTTTTCCGGCATTAGTATCTGTATCTGTTGGTTTGGAGTGGAGGCCATCGACTGTGGTTCCACTCCAGGAATGACTGGATTTGGTGTACGATTTCTGCCATTTCCTGCCAGTTTTTTTTCCTTCCTGGCACTAAAACAACGTTGGTCTACTCTACTTGTTAACAAACTTCAGTCTATTAAACCAAGTATAGGTTACTGGCCATCTTCTTGTCACCAGTGCCGAGGTTGGGAGACTACTCTCTCCCGTCTCTGCATTGGACATACTCATCTTACTCATGGATATCTCATGGAGAGGTGCCCTGCTCCTCTCTGTGAGAATTGTCAGGTTCCATTATCGGTCAGCCACATTATGTTAGACTGCCCACTGCTGTATAGCCCTTGTGTCTTAGCGCTTCTTTTTTATTATAATAATAATAGACTGCACATTATCAACGAGCACGCAGAATTTACCTCCAACGTCGTCTTCGCTCCGCTGCTCTCTCTTTACCTTTCCTTCTCGCTGATGGCCGGCTACCTTTATTTAATTCCCGCGATCCACTTTCATCGACTCATGACTTTTTGACAACAACTGACTTACTTCACAAACTCTGATGATACCTTCAGCCCTTTCTACCTCGATCTCTTGCTACCCTCTACCCTGCATTATCCCCTGCCCCACTGTTTTCTGTAACCTACTGATCGCCCCTCCCCCGTTCTGCTGCCCAATACCCTCGCTTCCTTTCCTACCCTGCAGCGCTGTATAGCCCTTGTGGCTTAGCGCTTCTTTTTGATTATAATAATAATATGGAATTGGAGCTGTGCTCCAGTTCCCTGAATTAAACCTGAATAGCTTCCACCTCCCCACAGGCGCTGTATAATCCTACGGGTTTAGCGCTTCCCTCTTGATTATAATAATAATATAAATAACAAAAAAGGCACAATACCGTGACTGGAACGATACACAAATAACCCGCACATAAAAGAGAGAAGCTTACGACGACGTTTCGGTCCGACTTGGACCATTGACAGTCACACTGTGACTTTGTCAATGGTCCAAGTCCAAGTATGATGATATAGCTTACACATGTTAATTAATCCTATGTCGATTGTATGTTATACAGTACTTTATAAGTCTAAGATTTATTTCCACAGGATACAATGTTTGTACAGAGATGGGTGACTTGACTGATTGGTTAATTCAGAAAGCCCATGGTTATGGAGCACGTTTTGGGTTGCAAGCTTAAGCCTGACTTAAGACTACAATGGCAATAATTATTACTTATGGAAATGAAGTTATTATTCAATCCAAACCCTAGTGAGAGGCTACCCACTAGATTTTTTTTTTTTTTTGCATTTTGCCTTGCAATGCCATGAAGTAACATCAACAGTGCGCACAGCAGCCGGATGTGATGCTTCAACATTAGCCCTACAACACTTGTGTTCCTCTTTCCCTTTACGGAGGTGCCTTGATGCCGCATATTTGATGTGAGGGGGGTTCGACCACCTCAATGGAAAACAAGCAATACTGCAATTATTTTTTTATGCGGTAAAAAATAATGTAGTTTACATGTAATAAAACACTGGTACTCACAAGAGAAATGCTGGAATGCTAAGTCCCCTGACAACCCTCAGGGAAGGTGCCTTGATGATGTTGAGGGTCCCTTGATCAAAGGATGGGGACATGTGGTCCGATTCCTTGAACTGAGCCTGCAAGCCTTCCATTCCCCCAGTCGCTGTATGACCCTTTGGGTTTAGGGTTTCCCCATGAATGCAATAGTAATAATAATAATAAGAGAATGTCTGGTTAACAAACATCTTGTGTTGTGCTTAGAAATTCAAACACTTCTCATCTGTATCTCATGCTCAACAGTTGTTCAGCTTGACTTGACTTAAGAAATCGTAATGACACGATTGCAAACAGCTTATTTGCTAAACTGTTGAGCATGACCTACTTTCACAAATGGGTCACGGTCACCTGTTAGAGCACCCCCAGCTCTGTGCCTCACTTCTGTCCCAGTTTATGAGGTTTGGCTGCATTCCTATTCTTTACGCTTGAGGCACCAGCTACCATGACTTACCAAGGTTGGCCCTGGTTGAGGGACTGCTACTACTGCTCTCTTGTGTTATATTTGACTGAAAATCCTGTTGTACAGGCGAAACGTTTTGGCAATAAAGATACCTAAGTGAAACACATGTGTCTATGGTGAAACAAACAAAAACTATAAACTTGGCCCAATATTTTATCAGGTGACTCAGTTACAGTAGGAGTGGCCTGAGTTCACGAGTAATAGATTCGGCTACTACAGTAATGAGTTGGGTAACACAATTAATGAATTAAGTCACATGAACTTAAAACAAGGACAAGTTGATGTACAAGTACCAGTTAGCACTAGCAGGATATACAGTATTCACAGATAAACATATATGTCTCAATAGCTGTGCCTCTTAACCTGAGTCTAACTTCATCCCCAGGGATTAATGTATTTCTCATGTAAGTGTACAGGTGAAATACACCTTAATAACATTGGCGCGTTTGATAAACTTTAATTTAAAAGTAATTAATGAAGTAGCTATGTAAGAAAGTATTTGGCAGCGTAGAATTGTGAGTGACGTCAGTACGCCTGCGCTTCTCTCAGTCAGTCTCCATATTTGTTGTGAAAGTTCACTACCATCACCGCAGGTACTTCTCGTCAAGTATTTTACTGTTTTATGTCATTAAAACACGAAAGAAAAAGGCGGCATTAATAGGTGGCCTGTGAGATCTAGAAGTGGGGAGATAAGTCAGGAAGGAAGACGGTGACTGGTTAATTGTAAGTGTTAAGGAGGAAGGGTGACTGATCAGTTGGTCTCTGCTTCCCAAGTGTTCTCGAACTGATAATTATTACCCCGAAATTATTGTAAGTTTATTTTATTTTTATTAGCCTGAAAATTTTGATGGTGGCATGCGAGAATTATCTAGAAACAAAATACATATACGCTATACACTTCACGCAGGTTCTCCAAATTTACTTGAGCAATAAAACCAGGAACTATTTGCAACGAAGGTTAGCAATGCAGATAAAGACACGTATGTGCATTTCCATACATTTATTGAGGACTGAAGACCGATGAACACCAGGACTAAAGAAGCCACTTGTGGTGGAACATATCCTCAGTAAATGTCTTGAACTGTGCATATGTCTTGACATAGTATCATCATGCCTTTCCAGTCTTAATCTTGGCAATAATAGAAGGCTGCTCCTCGGCGAAACTCAAGCATTATTTTATATCTTACAAAACATACAAACACTACACCATGGAATAAATAGTTATTTTTGTGCAGATTGTTCTTTTAAGAGAATAAAAATTATAAATAATCCACACCTAGGAGAGTGAAACTTCTGGCATTTCACTCCAACTTAGACCATTAACTAGTCACTCCGAGGTTGGACCAAAACGTAATGTTAAGTTTCATTCTCCTATGTGTGAGCTATTTGTGTATTGTTCCAGTCACAGTTAGTTTAATATGTTTATTATGCACCCCCATACTCATCCTGTGGGCGGCAGTCAAATTCCAGTCACAGTGTTGTCTTTTTATTCTTCAAAAATTATAATGTGTATTTTGGCTCAAATGCTGCGTCAAGGCCAATCATCGGTTTGTTTTGAAGAGTCTGGCCAGTCATGGTGAACATAAACAAATCTGCCATTTCCAGCTTTGCAAATTCAGTGGCCTTACTCTATCTTCATATGAGCATTTCTGATGTGTGAAATTAACTTCATCCTCAGGGCTTGTGGCTTGTGTAATAACATTTTTAGTTCACTTACTGAGTGACTGGGAATTGCTCCCCAGTGCAGATGAGATGTTGGGCATGTTCCCATACACCTGCTGTCCGTTTGCCTGGTAACAAGTAGGTACCTGGGTGTTAATTGACTGTTTTAAGCTGCATCCTGGGAGAGAAGATTAAAGGACCCCAATAGAAATGCCAGACAGTCCCCAATAGAAATGCCAGACAGTTTACCTGGAGTTTACCTGGAGAGAGTTCCGGGGGTCAACGCCCCCGCGGCCCGGTCTGAGACCAGGCCTCCTGGTGGATCAGAGCCTGATCAACCAGGCTGTTGCTGCTGGCTGCACGCAAACCAACATACGAGCCACAGCCCGGCTGATCCGGAACTGACTTTAGGTGCTTGTCCAGTGCCAGCTTGAAGACTGCCAGGGGTCTGTTGGTAATCCCCCTTATGTGTGCTGGGAGGCAGTTGAACAGTCTCGGGCCCCTGACACTTATTGTATGGTCTCTTAACGTGCTAGTGACACCCCTGCTTTTCATTGGGGGGATGGTGCATCGTCTGCCAAGTCTTTTGCTTTCGTAGTGGGTGATTTTCGTGTGCAAGTTCGGTACTAGTCCCTCTAGGATTTTCCAGGTGTATATAATCATGTATCTCTCCCTCCTGCGTTCCAGGGAATACAGGTTTAGGAACCTCAAGCGCTCCCAATAATTGAGGTGTTTCCAATAGAAATGCCAGACAGTCCCCAATAATACACTGCCTACTGGGTTATCCTTGGTAAGTAACCCTCCAGGGTTAACAATCTGAATAAAATCTTGTTTTCAAGTGCATCTATTCCTTTATGTAATATAGAGACCAGAACTGCCATGGTTATTCTCTCTACTCAGGATCCCATGGTTATTCTCTGTAACCAGGATTAAAACCTTATACATATTTGTATATGTTTGAACTACATGTGCTTCTTCTCTGACTACACCATAAACTTAATCCAGTTGATCCTGAAGTGCCCTAGTGTTGACAAAATTTGTTTGACAGCCTATTTAAATGTCATTGGGAACTTGCTTATATTGCTGTTTATTCCCTCAGCCGTCATTCATGTATGTTGGGAAGAAAGTGCACTTGTATCACATCTCATTCTGATTTCCTGCCATTTATGGAAACTTTGTTGCTTATCAGTCAACCAGGTCTTGATCTAAGGGTGCCATGAGTATACTAAGAGAAAACACTAAGTGTGTTGGACCCTAGACAGTTCAACAGCCTCCCACTATACATAAGTGAAATTACCAATAGACTCCTGGCTGCCTTCAAAAGGGAACTGGACAAATACCTAAAGTCAGTACCCAACCAGCCTGTCTGTGGTTCATATGTTGGATTATGTGCAGCCAGCAGTAACAGCTGGTGGATCATGCCTTGATCCACCGAGAAACCTGGTCGAAGACTGGGCTGTGGGGGCATTGACCCTCGGAATGACTTCCGGGTAGACTCCTATTTCATGTGCCTCTACTTTCATCAGAGGCTTTATTGAAATCCATTTACAAATTATTGTATTCATTATCATAATCTTCCAGCTTGAATACCTTAATGAAATTAGATTAGTAAATTCATAAGGCAAGAACACCCCTTTGAGAAATGGCACTATGACTTTGGTTAATTTATATCTTTTGAGGTAGCTTTGAATTGTCTCCACAATTATTAATCCCATTGATTTTCCCACAGTTGAGATTAGGCTGCTTGCTCTGTAATTCAAAGATGAGGATCAATCCTTCTTTGGAGATAGGTATCACATTTGCTGTTTTCTACTTGCCAGTCATTCCATGGTCAAAATCACTTAGGTCACATTTTCCTATTCTGATGTTCAGTCTGAGCAACAACTGAATCTCTTGACCCTGTCTGCATGCTTTTTTAAGAAGCATTGAGGTGCTGACATGTGATTGGCTAATTAGACGCTTACATTAATGAGCAGGTGGACAGGTGTACCTAATAAAGTGGATTGTGTGTGTGTGTGTGTGTGTGTGTGTGTGTGTGTGTGTGTGTGTGTGTGTGTGTGTGGTGTGTGTGGGTGTCTATAGTGGTGTGTGTGTGTGTGTGTGTGTGTGTGTGTGGTGTGTGTGTGTGTGTGTAGTTGTGTGTGTGTGTGGTGTGTGATGTGTGTTGTGTGTGTGTGTTGTGTGTGTGTGTGTGTGTTGTGTGTGTGTGTGTGTGTTTGTGTGGTGTGTGTGTGTTGTGTGTGTGTGTAGTGTGTGTGTGTGTGTGTGTGTGTGTGTGTGTGTGTGTGTGTGTGTGTGGCTGTGTGTGTGTGTGTGTGTGTGGTGTGTGTGTGTGTGTGTGTTGTGTGTGTGTGTGGTGTGTGTGTGAGTGGTGTAAGTGTAGGTAAGTGTAAATAATGACTCTAATTAATAGCTATGGCATGTAATTGTTCCTAGATGGAACACAATGATAATCATTGTCAGTACTTAAAACAGTCCTTTTTGCATTGTTCTTATCAATAACAGTGCAACAGGGAGGACTGTTAGGTTAAAAAGCTACTTAAGTTTATCATGATGAATTGGAGTAATTATTGAAAAGGTGCCTCATTAAATTTATATTATGGGTTTCTTTATACACTTCTGTACATATATCATTAATAAATTCACTCACAGGGTTGCCATGTTTGCTGCTTCATACAGACGAGGATTACGGCGGGCTAGAATAAGGCGCATTTTAATGAACCAGGATGGAGTTGTGGTGCGCAACATTAGTCCCCCAGATTACACAGAACAGCCTCCACCACCCCCAGCATATGTAAACATAGTTGCTTCCCTTAAATTGTGTTGCATTGTTTTGTAATTAATAAACTTATTATGATTAGCATGTACAGCTAAATCTGCATGAATGGTCCTATTTTGAATGCAGGAAATGAGTAATACTCAAGATATTATTTGCTTAACCCTTAGAGTGGCCATCACTTTAGATCTACATTATTGATGTCAGGGTCACTCGTGTAGATCTACATTTTGAGCATAGCTTCCTCAGATATGCTTTGAGTGGTAAATTTTGGCCTAGATATGAGAGAATGGGTCTGTGCAGTGAGTGTGCACCGTATAAAAAGTCCTGCCCCATTCACTGCATGATGGGAAAAGCAAAACTCAGACGTTGTGTTTGGTTTAAAATAGCAAGTTTTTAGATATTTCATAGGATGGTTTCTATGGTTTTATGGGCTGCATTTTTGGTATCATTTGATAGAAAGGAAGATACTACTGAAACAGAGATGATTTTGGTTGGTTTCAGGATGAAGTAGCTTAAAATTGGTTTCAGAGTAGCAGAAATATTCGATTTTTACTTATTTTTTCCAGAGGACTGATAAGGTCCCCTACACCGATCAGTCTGTTTCATGGATTTTTAATAGGTCTGATTCAGTTATTGGAATGCTGTAAACCACAAAAAATCATTCCTGGTTATACAGCCTCTCCTCACTTTATGATGTGCTTGTTTAATCCTTAAACTGTCCAAGCAGATCTATGTTCATATGCGTAGTGCTCCAAAAGTAGATCTATGTTTTTTACATATTTTCAAATATAACAAAAAAAAAAACGTAGATCAAAGGTTTTTTTTACACATTTTCAAATGTAAAAAAGAAAAGATCTACTTTTTTTACATTCAAATGTTGAAAAAAACGTAGATCTACGTTTGGACAGTTTAAGGGTTAACGACGCCTTGGACTTACGACAGGCTCTCTGACCAGTATGCATACCTAAATAATGTATATTAGAGCTGATTTCCTCTATCCTGTTTATTACAAGACAACCTCTCCTTACTTAGCGACGTACTCGTTTAGCAATGATTCGGACTTATGACAGGCTCTCTGACCAGTATGCATACCTAATTAATATTTATTAGAACTGATTTTCTCAATTTTATTTATTACAGTATACAGTACACTACTGTATAAACATTTAAATATATACCAGAAATGTTATAAATGGTGCAAAGGTGACATTAAAACAATATCAAAAATGGTTGACACAAACCCACTACCATTTAGTATGCTCCTCACTTAGCGACGAATTCACTTACTGACATGGCCTTAGGAATGGAACTCTGTCGTTAAGTGAGGAGAGGCTGTAACAGTTTACTACTTCACAAACCTTTAAAAATATGCCAGAAATGTTAAAATGGTGCAAAGGTGATGTTAATATCAAAGATGGTTGACAAACCCACTACATTATAGTGTGCTCCTCACTTAGTGAAAAATTCGTTTACCGACATGGTCCTAGGAATGGAACTCCATCATTAAGTGAGGAGAGGCTGTATTTTATTACCCGAGAAATAGAATACATCTTATTTTTTTTTTTTTTTTTGTGATTTAGAACTTCAAATGGAAGGCAGGTTTAATATAAGAGAGACCTGGGGATGTGATTAATGAACAAAGAAAAAGTTGTTTTAACACTTGGAATGTCTGTATTGTTTATTTCGGAATCTATATTTTTTTAATTTTGTGTAAAATTGGCCAAATTACCGACTGTGCACTTTATAAGGTAGTTCTAATAGTTAAATGAGCAGTTGCTTGTGCTTAATAGAACAGAAGGCTTGCTAGTAAAATAGTTAAGAATTTAGATAAATGGCGCAATAGGTTTGGCTTAAAATAAGACTCCAAATGGGCGGAAATGCCGGTGTAAATTTACACCGAGACCCCTAACTTTGCGTCTGCATAATTCTGTAAATTTTCCATCAAATTTTGTACTCTTGGTGTCATCATCTTCAGAAAATATTACCATTTCAGAAGAATTTTTTTTTTAAGTGGATACTGAGAGCAATATTAATTTTAGGGGTCTGAACAGTGGAAGCGTTAACAGGTACATGTCTCATATTCTAGCCAGTCGTGTTTTTTCTGCTTAAGTATCCTGTCATGCAGGCAAGCATGGATCCTAGATTTGAGATAATGCCCTTTATGGGAGGAATATAAAGGTGATGGGCTTCTTTAATTTTGGCATTTAACACTAGGGATGCTGGGTTACTTGCCTTGACACTACATCTTTCATATGAGGGAGTTTAAGTAATAATGATTATATTAAGAGGAGAGAGAGAGATTTTGGGAGATGTTAAGCAAGTGTGTAGGAACCTTTGAACCAAGTGAGAGAGTAACTGTAGTCGGGGGACCTAAATGCTAAAGTAGGAGAAGCATTTAGAGAGGGTGTGGTAGGTAAGTTGGGGATTACCGGGTGTAAATGATAATGGGGGCCCTTTGATTGAACTTTGTATAGAAAGGGGGTTTAGTTATGGGTAATACATATTTTAAGAAAAAGAGGGTAAATAAGTATACAAAATATGATGTAGGGCATAATGACAGTAGTTTGTTGGGCTATGTATTGGTAAATCATTGGTACATCAAATCACTTTTTAGTTGTAGCTACAGTGAGAGTAAAAGGTAGACGGGATTTTAGTAGAAGCAGCAAGTAAGAGAGAGGTGAAGGTTTATGAACTAAAGGAGGAGGCAGTTAGGGTAAGATATAAACAACTGTTGGAGGATAGATGGGTTAGTGAGAATATAGGCAATGTGGTTTGTGTGCAGCCAGCAGCAACAGCCTGGTTGATCAGGCTCTGATCCACCAGGAGGTCTGGTCACAGACCGGGCCGCGGGGGCGTTGACCCCCGGAACTCTCTCCAGGTAAACTCCAGGTATTTTATTTAATAAATGTATGGAAGAGGGTGAAGTACTTAGGGATTGGCAGAGACAATACGTAGTTCCTTTGTATAAAGGCAAAGGGGACACAAGAGAGTGCAAAAATTATAGGGGAATAAGTCTGTTGAGTATACCTGGTATACTCAACAGACTTATTCCCCTATATGGTCGAGTTGTTAGTGAAGGAATTAAGAGTAAGACAGAGAGTAGGATAGCAGATGAACAAGGAGGTTTTGGGAAAGATAGGGGGTGTATAGACCAAATGTTTACAGTGAAATATATAGGTGAACAGTATTTAGATAAGGGTTAAGAGGTTTTTGTGGCATTTATGGATTTGGAAAAGGCATATGACAGGGTGGATAGGGGGGCAATGTGGCAGATGTTGCAAATGTATGGAATAGGAGGTAGGTTATGAAAGCAATGAAGAGGTTTTATGAGGATAGTGAGGCTCAGGTTAGAGTATGTAGGAGACAGGGAGATTATTTCCCAGTAAAAGTAGGCCTTAGATAAGGATGTGTGATGTCACCATGGTTGTTCAGTATATTTATAGATGGGGTTGTAAGAGAAGTAAATGCTCAGGCGTTGGCAAGAGGTGTGGGGTTAAAAGATAGAGAATCTAACACAAAGTGGGAGTTGTCACAGTTGCTCTTTGCTGAGGACACTGTGCTTTTGGGAAATTCTGAAGAAAAGTTGCAGATTTTGGTTGTTGAGTTTGGTAGGGCATGTAAAAGAAGAAATTTAAAAGTGAATATAGGAAAGAGTAAGGTGATGAAGATAAAAAATTAGGTAACAAAAGACTGGATATCAGATTGGAGGGAGAGAGAGTGGAGGAGGTGAATTTATTCAAATATTTAGGATTGGACATGTCAGCTGATGGGTTCATGAAAGATGAGGTGAATCATATAATTGATGAGGGGAAAAAGCTGAGTGGTGCACTGAGAAATCTGTGGGGGCAAAGAACTTTGTCCATGGAAGCAAAGAGGGGAATATATGAGAGTACTATAGTAATACCTATGCTCTTATATGGGTGTGAAGAATGGGTGGTGAATGTTGCAACAAGGAGAAAGCTGGAGGCAGTGGAGATGTCATGTCTGAGGGCAATGTGTGGTGTGAATATAATGCAGAGAATTCATAGTTTGGAAATTAGGAGGAGGTGCGGGATTACCAAAACTATTATCCAGAGGACTGAGGAGAGGTTGTTGAGGTGGTTCGGACATGTAGAGAGGGTGGAACAAAATAGAATGACTTTAGGATTGTATAAATCTGTAGTGGAGGGAAGGCGGGGTAGGGGTTGGCCTAGGAAAGGTTGGAGGGAGGGGTAAAGGAGGTTTTGTGTGTGAGGGGCTTGGACTTCCAGCAAGCATGCGCAAGTGTGATAGACAAGAGTGAATGGAGACATATAGTTTTTAGGACTTGACATGCTGTTGGAGTGTGAGCAAGGTAACATTTATGAAGAGATTCAGGGAAACCGGCAGGCTGGACTTGAGTCCTGGAGATGGGAAGTACAGTGCCTGCACTCAAAGGGAGGGGTGTGTTGCAGTTTTATAACTGTACTGTAAGTGAGTCTCTGGCAAGACAGTGATGGAATGAATGATGAGAGTTTTTCTTTTTCGGGCTACCCTGCCTTGGTGGCAGATGGCAGATGTGTTAATAATACAGTGGACCCCCGCATAGCGACTTTAATCCGTGCAAGAGGGCTGATTGTTATGCGAAATGATCGGTATGCGAATGAATTTTCCCCATAAGAAATAATGGAAATCAAATTAATCCGTGCAAGACACCCAAAAGTATGAAAAAAAAAATTTTACCATATGAAATATACATTTTCCTACACACAAAGAGAAGGATACATGCACAATAGTAGAGTAGTACATGCACAATATATATTGTGCATGTACTACTCTACTAAATGAAGAATAAATGACACTTACCTTTATTGAAGATGCAGCAATGACTGATGAGACACTGTGTCCTGGGAGTGCCTTTTCCTCCTGAGTACTGTAGGTCCTGTTTGGCATTTTCTTCCAGAACAGGCCTTATCACACTGTGTATGCCACTACGATTCTTAAATCTCTCAAACCAACCTTTGCTGGCTTTAAATTCACCAATATGAGCACTAGTTCCAGGCATTTTTCCCTGTTCACCTGGGTGTTAGTTGACTGGTGTGGGTTGCATCCTGGGAGACAAGATTAAGGACCCCAATGGAAATAAGTTAGACAGTCTTCGATGACACTGACTTTTTTGGGTTATCCTGGGTGGCAAATCCTCTGGGGTTAATTGTTTCTTGGTATTCTCAATAAGCCACACCAACAACGGTGCTACAGCAGCAGCAGCAGCAGCTGACAGTGATACAGCAGCAGCAGACGATGCTACAGCAGCAGCAGACGGTACTACAGCAGCAGCAGACGGTACTACAGCAGCAGCAGCAGCTGACGGTGGTACAACAGCAGCAGCAGCTGACAGTGCTACAGCAGCAGCAGACGATGCTACAGCAGCAGCAGACGATGCTACAGCAGCAGCAGACGATGCTACAGCAGCAGCAGACGATGCTACAGCAGCAGCAGACGGTACTACAGCAGCAGCAGCAGCTGACGGTGGTACAACAGCAGCAGCAGCTGACGGTGGTACAACAGCAGCAGCAGCTGTACCACCAATAGTAGCGATGGTTGATTGGGGTTTATTATACAACCTGGCCAGCTCGGAGACACGCACTCCACTTTCATACTTATCAATGATCTTTTTCTTCATCTCTATAGTAATTCTCACCCTTTTTGCTGTAGGGTTGGCACTAGAAGCTTTCTTGGGGCCCATGGTCACTTATTTTCCAGAAAAAATCACCAAAAACACTGTAATAATACGAAATGTTCCGATTGTATGCTTGGATGTTACCGTGGAGGCTGGCTGGTAAACAATGCCACCGGCGGCACATGTGAGGCTGGCTAAGGGCGCACATTGGACGCGTCTCGGACGAAGAGCGGTGAGCGGGTTTTTGGGCAGTATGTGAGGCAAAATTTTTGCATAAAAGCGAGCGGTATGCGGATTGAACGGTATGCGATGCGTACGGTATGCGGGGGTCCACTGTACTGTAGTAAAAAAATTAATACGTATTAGAATTAATTGTCCTGTATATGTAGTCATCACAGTAGTATTAGTGAATTTTATGTATATATTAAGTAAGTTGAGACTTTTGAAGAGTGGAGGTGTGTGTTGCCTGGTTTTAGACTGGGAGATCATTCATACAGCCACTTTTTGTTGCATTATTTTTGGAGGCTTACATTGGCAGGAAATCACTGCAGGGAGATTGACCAACCCTACTCTAAAGTCAAGTATGGTATAGCTTTTCTAGTTTGTGTTTAATTGTCAAGTAGGTGATAGGTCTTGGATTTAGGGAAAGATATAAAAGCAATAATAAAATAAAATCTTTATTTCTTATGGGACATACATACGTAGACATAGAAGTTTGCACTATATTTGGTTAGTTTTGGTACAGTTGTAAAAACGGCAATTTGATACAATTGAATGTCTAAAAGAAAACCACTTGTGCATGGCATTTTGAGCAAACTAATCCCAGAACTTGCATACTACAGTACTTAATTCCAGTCATAGCATATAGTTTTTGATAATTATGGATAATTTACATTGAATTTATATCAGATCAGTGATGTACATTTTATTGAGTGGTAGATTTTCAGTGGTGACAATATCATTTACTGGATATAATGTTTAAGTAAAGCATAGGTAATAGTGCTTTTTAACATTGTTACCCTTAACCCTTTCAGGGTCCGTGCCATAGATCTACAGCTTTACGTTTAGGGTCCAAACCGTAGATAGACGCCATGAGCTCAGCTCACTCTGATAAGCTGTGAGCAATAAATTTGGGCCTAGATATAAGAGAATACATCCATGTGGTATGTGTGCACCACATAAAACAAATCCTGCAGCACACAGTGCATAATGAGAGAAAAAAAACCGAGACCTTAATTTTTCAATTAAAACAGCGACTTTACAGTGTTTTTTTGTATGTGTTTTATAGTTGTAGTATTTGCAATTTCCTGTCTCATTTGATAGAATGGAAAATATACTACAGAAATAGAGATGATTTTGATTGGTTTTAGTATGGGAAATGGCTTGAAACTGAGCTCAAAGTAGCAGAAATGTAAAATTTTTGCAGATGTTCAAGAGTAAACAAATGACCTCACAAGTATAATATATGACAGCTGGTGGGCCTAATATACTTTCACAGATGTGGTGATATTATTTATACAATTATTACAGTATTGCATAACAATAAATCTTCTATTTTTTGGTTTGAATAAAATTTCATTATGTGAATAAAAAATCAAAATTGAATTCATTTGTAAAGCCTGAAAACATAACTAATGAACAGAGGAAATGTTAGCTTAGTGCCAGGAATGCCTGCATTGTTTATTCTGGACCCTGTTTTGAAATTGGAATATTTTGAACTTGCATTAAATTGGCCAAATTACCAATTTCCAGTCACTATTTTGTTGTTGAAACAGTTGACTTGGCGATTTCTTGTGCTCAATCAATAGAATAGAAGTAATACTAGTGAAATAGCTAAGAATTTGGGTGACTGGAATACGTACTGTAATTGGCCTAAAATGGGAGTCAAAAGTTGGCAAAATCGCCGATGCGTAAATATCGCTGACACATCAAAATTTGTGAGAGCATAATTTAGTAAATTTTCCATCAAATTTTGTACTTTTTGTTTTATTACCTTCAGAAAAAGATTCTCTACCATTTCATAAGAAAAAATAACAAAATTATTTTTTGAAAATTTTTGGACCCTGGTGCACACTTTGAAATTTGACCTCTGGACCCTGAAAGGGTTAAGGGGTAACAGTGTTGGCGAGGGGATCCTGATTCAAGAATTGGAATTATCCATTACTTCCTTAGATCAAACCCTATTGCCTCCTATTACCCAGGCACTACATGACCCCTATGGGTTTAGCACTTCCACCTAAATATAATAATTTTAACAATGTTATTAAAGCTGTTGGCAGGTAGGGAACCTTGGGCATTTCCAGTCAGAGTTTTCCATACTTTTTGGGCCTTTTATTTGCATGGAATTTCTGAACAGGTTGAGTTGTACATGTACAAAGGAAAACAGAGCACAAAGTGGAACTCCAGCTTGAGGAAGGAGCAAGTTGAATGGTCACATAAATGAGGAAGGCACTTCTATGTTGGTAAGGGGTTTATCCAATGTAGACAGGCTGTAGCACTGCGCTGTGGTCTTGAGCAGTGTCTGAGGTAGACACTAGAGGAAACCCAAGTGTGCATACAGAAAGGAGATCAGAGAAATTTTTGAGTGAAAAGCAGTTCAAGAATGCTATTTTCATCATGTTATAAAGGCAGCTTGCTACTCCTATTAAGCATTTATGAAACTTTAACAGACAATTCTCTTTATTAAAAGAAAATTGCATTAAAAATGTATATCTGAATGTATTGTGTTAACCCCTCTGCATAGCTGTTATACACTTGCAGACAGTTGCTAGTGAAGACTTATTCCTGTAAGGAACTAATTATTGTAGCATTCTCAAAGCTACAATGAAAATAAAAACTCAGAAAGTTGCTTAATTACCCTTCTTAAATTAAACAGGGCTTGAAAGACCCCACCATTACACAACAATTAGGCAAGATACTAGTGATGTATGAGCTTTAATTAATAAGTTTTTTTTTAATATTGTTCAGTATTTTGCATGGTTTGTGACATTTTCTTGTTCAAAAAATAAATAAGCTGATCTTATGGTATGTAAAGAATAATGGATGGAAACTTTTTAATAGGATATTTTTTTGCAGCAGTAATACAGAATTTTCTGTACTAGATATTTTATATTTTACTCCAACATATGGAGTTTGTTATACATGTACAGTATACGTATATTTAAAAAAAATACATTTAAAGTTAGTACTATGACAATTGTTTGTGCAGTGTGATGTAAAAAAATGTTTGGTAGCTGCCTAATTTTTCTGTTAATTCAATGGTTGTAATTACTTAGGATTGGAAGACATTAAAATTTAGTCCGGAAATACAGTATCTCTATACGTATATTCATCATTCTTGAAACAAAGTGCTAATTATATGTATTATATGGTATTTACTATAAAAATAGGTTTCATTGATGAATCTCTCTCTAATTACTTCTAGAGTGAAGTGTCGCCCAGGAGTGGCACAAGCAGTATCTTAGAGACAGGTGATACCCAAGCAGGCAGCACGGAGTCCTCGCGGGAAGGCGTAAGCATTGGGTGTGAGGCCCAGGAAGGAGGAGGGGTAAGACTTTTTTTTTATGCATTTTTGTTTTATTTATTGTTTTTGTGTGTTGTTCTTTTTGTTGTACACACAAAATAGACCAGAGGAAAGTTGAAACTGTTCTAATTAATGTTTGCTTTGTAAGAAAAAGGAAAAAATGCTTGTTTTGTATCTAGAGCAATTTTGTACCTCCTCAAGGACTGAAGATCCAAAGTATTAGATACAGGGTGTTTGATCCACAAACTGGCTGTGGAATAGAAAGATTTTAGCTTTCTATGGTAGGATTACAAACATAACACTTACAAGAAGAGATTTCCAAGTGTGTATTGTACAGCATCTAAGAACATAATGGAAGCAGATGTAGAATGTCATATTTTTAACCCTTTAATCAGTATCTAATTTTGTTTTTGTGTTCAACCAGAAAATGTGGCTGCCTGCTTCTGTTGAGTACTTTGTGGCAGTTGAGGTGTTGAAAGGTTTCACCCCTACTCCTAGCACCTCACCTCATCTACTTACATGAAATATTTTAGTACTAATAGTATGTTCCACTGAAGGACTTGATAAAAGCTCATATACATAGTGAAATATTGTCCAGTTAAGGCTCACCATTACTTCAATCTTGTAGGTTTATATAAATTTGCATTTTGGGCAAAGCTACCGAAATATTCTTTAGTTTTTTTTTTTTTTGTTGTTGAAAGCCTTTTAATGATCTTCACAAGATACCTTACTTCATAGCTCAACTCTACAAATCTTGTTCCCTCTTCAGAATACTGCTTATGCATCTGGGGAAGCTTTCCATTTACAAAGGACTTCCTTTTTTTTTATTCAGAGAAAATGGTTGTTCTCATAGAGGGAAAGTGTTGCAGAAGTGCTGAAGTTTGTGGAAGAAATGACTGTCAGTGGATGGATAAAAAGAAGCTATAAGCAGAGTATTGTGGTGCTGACTCCAGAGTAATGTGTGAAGCATGATCTTTGAATGCTACAGCCAGAACAACATTGGAGGATTAAAGAAAAATTGTCAACTAATAAAATGTTCATTTAATGGAGTTAGCATAATTTATGATCACCTTAGGCAGAAAGTTCAGTGTTGAGTTCTTTAAACTTTTACTTACTAATAGACTATTTTCAATTGCATTTTGGCTTGCACTGTTAATGTATTTTATCCACCAGTCATATGTTTTTATATCCTTTTTTTTTTTTAAATCTTAAGATTTGTATTATATGCATTTTTGATGCAGTATGGCATTTATAGGGGGTTGTTGAAGCACCAGCAGCAGGTGTAGCAGGGGGCAGCAGTATGTTGAGTCGGGGCCGATTACAAGAAGTCCACGGGAGGCTGGAGGCACTGAGAAAACGACATGATCAATGGACTTGTTTTCTCTGCTGTCATGTCCGCACTGGCACCATTGTTATTGGATTTTGGCACATGGTATGGACTTTCATATCATATGTTTTACGAGTGAATCATTTCAGTTTTGAATTTGCATACATTGCTTTGCCAGTTTTATACAGCCTCTCCTCACTTAGCAGTGTACTCGTTTACTGACGCCTCGAACTTAAAACAGGCTCTCTGACCAGTATATATACCTAAATAATATATATTTGAGCTGATTTCCTCTATTCTGTATGTCTCAATATACAGTACACTACTGTATAAACATTTAACCCTTAAACTGTCCAAAGGTAGATCTACGTTTGGAGCTCTACGCGAGTGAACGTAGATTTATGTTTGGACAGTTTAAGGGTAAAAAATATACCAGAAATGTTGTAAATGGTGCAAATGTGACATTAAAACAATATCAAAGATGGTTGACACAAACCCACTTCCATTATAGTATGCTCCTCACTTAGCGACGAATTTGTTTAACGATGTGGTCTTAGGAACAGAACTCTGTCGTAAAATGAGGACAGACTGTATTCTGATATTCTTATCTATTCGTAAAAATCTAGGAAATTGAGTTAGTACTCAGGAGAATCTGAAAATAATTTTACAAACAATAGTATAAATTTGTTCAGTGGTTCTGAGGGCACAGATGTTGTGGGCATACGTTTGAGGTGTTGTGAGTCAGAAAAGAACAGTGCCACCATGGCCAAAATCTGGGTTATTGAGCAGATACATTCCCTAATGTTTTCTTTTTAGGAATGTGTAAATATTGTCTTCTGCATCTGTCAATTAGGTTCAGAGCCCTATAACAAAGTACAATAATAGGAGCTTATACCATGCAGTGCCTCGTACATAGTTCACAGTATGTAGATTTGATCTAATATTTCCTAGTAATGACTTAGTTTTATGTGGTGCCTTATTTCTCATAGGCACCTATATATTCCATCTTTTATTCAATCCTTAGCAATATTGAATATGACAAAAATAAAACAAAAGCAATTAGGTTTAATCATTTCCATATTATTGACTTACCACTCTGTAAATACTAACAGTGAGAGCACAATAAAACTATAATTTAACTTCTTTTTAACTGGGTCCCATGCACTAGTATGCAGGTGATGACTGTGTCTACATTCTACCACACAATTTTTCATGCCTTCAAATATCCCACTTGTCAGTATTTTTGACCTCAGTGTAACTCTTTGAGTCTTCAACAACCTCTTCATGCCTTTGAAAAATTCTAAGGCAAATTGGGTCCACACTGCATCATGATTAACACTGTGTGACTAGTGTAAGTAAACAATGAAACTAGGACTTGTTGTTCCACCACCAGCTTCCCTACCAGCAAACAGGGTGTTGAACTGGCAGGAAAATGCTTCTTCATTCCAGATGTATTACAGTTTCATGATACCAACAGTGGAATTCAGCCACAAAACCCACTACATAGATTTAATCCAGGACAACCCAATAAAGAAACAATGCGAGTTATTTCCATGTTTTGTTAAGTGTTACACCTTGAAATAATTGTAAATGTATGTTATACAGTGGTCTTGAAGGTGCACAGGTGTTTGGTTCAAATAAGAATTACATAGTTTTTTTTTTTTTTTTTTTTTTTTAACACATCAGCCATTTCCCACCGAGGCAGGGTGACCCAAAAAGAAAGAAAAACTCAAAAAGAAAGAAAAATACTTTCATCATCATTTAACACTTTCACTATCACTTATACATAATTACTGTCTTTGCAGAGGTGTTCAGATATGACAGTTTAGACATCCCTCCAAACTACCAATATCCCTAACCCCTTGACTGTCACAACCCCAAATCCTGAGGTGTCTCCTGGTGTCGCAAAATTTCCAAAGAAAAAAATTTTTTTTTCTTATGAAATGATAGAGAATCTTTTCCCAATTGTAATGACACCAAAAGAACGAAATTTGATGGAAAACTGACGGAATTATGCTCTCGCGAAGTTAGCGACCTCGGCGATATTTACGAATTGACGATTTCACCCCCCTTTGAGCCCTATTTTCGAATTCCATTGTTCCAGTCAACCAAACTCTTTAGAATTCCATTTTTTCTATTGATTGAGTACAAGAAACTGCCCATTTACCGATTTCAACTACCAATAACGTGGTCAGAAATTTGCAATTTGACAAATTTCACTAACATCAAAAAATATGACAATTTCAAAATAGGGTCCAGAATGAACAATACAGACATTCCTGGCTTTAAAATAACATTTTCTTCGTTCATCAGTCACGTCTCTAGGCCTCTCTGATATTACTCTTGCTCTCTATTTTGAATTTTTATTCAAACAAAAAATAGAAGATTTACTGTTATACACACTACTGCAATATTATAATAATTGTATAAATAATGTCAACCCATTCATGACTGCATATTAGAATGGCTACTTGGACATTTATTGGAAAATGACATCATTTGTTTACTTTTGAACATTGGCAAAAATTAAACATTTCCCCTACTTTGAGCTCCATTTCTAGGTTCTTTTCATAGTAAAACCAATCAAAATCACTTCTATTTCTATAATATGTTCTCCATTCTATCAAATGAGACCAAGAAAACGAGAATACAACCATAAATACTATACAAAAATAGACCACAAAGTCGGCATTTTAATTAAAAAAAAAAATGGTCAGAATTTTTTTCTCATTATGCACTGCGTGCTGCAGGATTTTTTTATATGGTGCACACTGACCACACAGACCCATTCTCTCACATATGGGCCAACCAGCTTTCTCCTGCTTGATTTGAAGCTGCTAGAATTTATGAGTATATATACGTCAAAAACAGTGGGTCGTAAGATGTATATATACGACCAAAACAGTCATAGGGTTAAAGTGCAGGCATTGTACTCAGGACAGGTCCAGCTAACCATTTTCCCTGAATCCTTTCACACAGTATTACCCTGCTCACACTCCAACAGCTCATCAGGTCCCTAAAACCATTCATCTCCATTCACTCCTATCTAACACGTTCACCAATGCTTGCTGGAAGTCTAAGCCCCTCGCCCACAAAACCTCCTTTACCCCTCCCTCCAACCTTTTCAAAGACGATCCCTACCCTGCCTTCCTTCCCCTACAGATTTATATGCTCTCCAAGTCATTCTACTTTGTTCCATTCTAACTGACCAAATCACCTCAGCAACCCCTCTTCATCCCTCTGAATAATACTTTTAGTAACTCCACACCACCACCTAATTTTCATATTCCAAATTCTCTGCATAATATTTACACCACACATTGCCCTTAGACAGGACATCTCCACTGTCTCCGGCCGCCTCCTCGCCGCAGCATTTACAACCCATGCTTCACACCCATATAAGGGTGTTGGTACCACTATACTTTCGTACATTTGCTTCTTTTCCTCCAAGGATAACGTTTTTTGTCTCCACAGATACCTCAACTCGCAACTCGCCTTTTTTCCTTCATCAATTCTATAGCTAACCTCATCTTTCATAAACCCACCCACTGACAAGTCAACTCCCAATTATCTGAAAACATTCACTTCTTCCATACTCCCTCTCTCCAGTGTAATATCCAATGTTTCTTTATCTAAATCGTTTGATACCCTCATCACCTTACTCTTATCTGTGTTCACTTTCAACCTTCTACTTTTACACACCCTCCAAAACTCATCCACAAACCTTTGCAACTTTTCTTTAGAATCTCCCAAAAGCACAGTATCATCAGCAAAAAGTAACTGTGTCAGCTTCCATTTTGTATTTGATTCCCCATAATTTAATCCCATCTCTCTCCCCAACACCCTAGCACTTACCTCTTTTACATCCCCATCTATAAATATATTAAATAACCATGGTGACATTACACATCCCTGTCTAAGACCTACTCTTACCTAAAAGTAATCTCCCTCTCTCCTACACACCCTAACCTGAGCCTCGCTATCCTCATAAAAACTCTTTACCGCATTTAGTAACTACCTATTCCATACACTTGTAACATCTGCCACATTACTTCCCTATCCACTCTATCATATGCCTTTTCTAAATCCATAAATGCAATAAAAACTTCCCTACCTTTATCTAAATACTGTTCATATATATGATTCAATATAAACACTTGATATACGCATCCCCTACCCACTCTAAAGCCTCCTTGCTCATCTGCAATCCTAATCTGTGTCTTACCTCTAATTCTTTCAATAATAACCCTACTGTATACTTTACCTGTTATACTCTGTAAATTTATTCCCCTATAATTTTTACAATCTCTCTTGTCCTGCTTCCCTTTATATAAAGGAACTATGCGCGCACACTGCCAATCCCTAGTTACCTTCCCCTCTTTCATTAATTACAGTATTTCACTAGCTCGTTCTGTATATTCCAAGTACAGCAATGTCGGGCTAAGCATTTTCCCATGTTTGAAGTCTGAAAACATCTCAAAACACATCTAATATAAGAAACTGTTAAAAAACAGAAAAACAATCATAGTTTGGCATCAGTAAATTCAAAAACATAAATATTGCTGGAGCAATTATGGCACTGTTGCTGACAAGTGATCATTTTATTACAAGCTATAACACATTATGAAACTAAATTTTAATCAAATTTCACTTATTTTAGTGTTACTCTTCATAAAAATATATATAACATTTTTTTTTTTATACTGGTCAATAGTAAATGAATTTCGGATTTAATGGATTTGTCCGTTATTTTTTATTGACAATTCTTGATTTAATGTACTTGTCTGTTATTTTTGTGGACAATTCTTAATTTAATGGACTTTATTAGTTAAGTCTAAAATTATCCCTTTTTGTTACAGTTAGCCTGGTAAATTTATTTTTGTATTTATTGGACTTTGTTCATTAAATCCTAAAACTGTGCTTCACTGTTACAGTCATGGACAGTATACTCATAATTTGGATTTAACCAACAATTGGCTTTAACAGTTCCCCCATCTTCCCAATTAGTCTGTTACATTGAGAGTTCACTGTACAGTGGACCCTCGACTAACGCTATTAATCCATTCCTGAGAGCTCATCGTTAGTCAAAATTATCGTTAGTCAAGTTAATTTTCCCCATAAGAAATAATGGAAATCAAATTAATCCGTGTAGGACACCCCAAAGTATGAAAAAAAAATTGTTTTTACCACATGAAATATTAATTTTAATACACAGAAACTGAAGAAGACATGCACAGTTACATGACACTTACCTTTCTTGAAGATCAGGTGATGATTGATGGGATGGGAGGAGGGGAGAGTGTTGATGGTCTTAGTGTTTAGAAGGGGAATCCCCTTCCATTAGGACTTGAGGTGGCAAGTCCTTTTCCGGGGTTACTTCCCTTCCCTTTAAATCTCTCAAACCAACCTTTGCTGGCCTTAAATTCACTCACATCACCACTAGTTGCTTGCATTTTTTTAATTAAATCGTCATGCAACTTCCTAGCCTTTTCACATATGATCGCTTGAGAGATGCTATCTCCTGCTATCTGTTTTTCGTTTATCCACACCAATAACAGTCTCTCAACATCTTCGAGTACTTGTGATCTCAGTTTCGAAAACATAGTTGCACCTTTGGCAAGAACAGCTTCCTTGATTGCCGTTTTCTTGCCCACAATAGTAGCGATGGTTGATTGGGGTTTTGTGTACAACCTGGCCAGCTCGGAGACATGCACTCCACTTTCATACTTAGCAATGATCTCTTTCTTCATATCCATAGTAATTCTCACCCTTTTTGCTGTAGGGTTGGCACTAGAAGCTTTCTTGGGGCCCATGGTGACTTATTTTGCAGGTGCAATCACTAAAAAGGCTGTGATAATATGAAATGTTCAGATTGTATGCTTGGAAGCGACCGCAGTGGCTGGCTGGCTTGTAAACACTGGCCAGAAGTGGACGCGTCTCAGACAGAACGAATAGTGTTGGTCGAGTTTTTTTAGCGCTAGTCGAGGCAAAATTTTTGCATTAAAATGTATCGCTAGTCAGATTTATCGTTAATCGATGCCATCGTTGGTCGAGGGTCCACTGTATATGTTTTAAGTCGAAATTCAGTATTAACCCTTTCAGGGTTTCAGATGTATGTACTAGTACGGCTTACGCACCAGGGTTTTTAACGTACTAGTACGCCTAAATTCTAGCGCCCTCAAATCTAGTGAGAGAAAGCTGGTAGGCCTACATATGAAAGAATGGGTCTATGTGGTCAGTGTGCGCAGTATAAAAAAAAAATCCTGCAGCACACAGTGCGTAATGAGAAAAAAAAACTGACCGTCTTTTTGGATTAAAACAGCGACTTTGCACTGTATTTTTGTATGGTATTTATTGTTGTATTCTAGTTTTCCTGGTCTCATTTTATAGAATGGAAGACATATTACAGAAATTGAGATGATTTTGACTGGTTTTACAATGAAAAGTACCTTGAAATTGAGCTCAAAGTAGCAGGAATGTTCGATTTTTACCAAAGTTCAAAAGTAAACAAATCATGCTACGCATCCAATACACGTCAACTGGTGAGTCTAATATTCTTTTACAAGTGCGCTGATATTATTTATACCATTTCTACACTAATGCAGTAGTCTGCATAACAGTAAATCTATTTTTTTGTGAGAATGAAAATTCAAAGTGCAGAGCAAAAGAATGTAAGAGGGGCGTGGGGACGTGACTAATGAACAGAGGAAATGTTATTTTAGTGCCAGGAATGTCTTTCTTGTTTATTCTGGACCCTATTCGAAAATTGGCATCTTTTGAGATTTGTGTGAAATTGGCAGAATTGCTAAATTCTGACCACTTTATTGGATAGTTGAAATCAATAAATGGGTGGTTTCTTGTACTCATTCAATAGAAAAAGTGGAGTTCTAGCGAAATAGTTATGATTTTTGTCGACTAGTACACTGGAATTGGCTGAAAATAGGGCTCAAAGTGGGCAAAATCGCCGATGCATAAACATCATCGAGACCGCTAACTTCATGAGAGCATAATTCTGTGAATTTTCCATCAAATTTCATACTTTTGGTGTCATTATCATTGGGAAAAGATTCTCTATCTTTTCATAAGATTTTTTTTTTTTTTTTTAAATTTGGCGACCCTGAGAACAAGTCTCGGAGAGGGCCTGGCGACCCTGAAAGGGTTAAAAAATACCCTTACTAGTTTTATTTTAACATTTCAGCAGAATAACTTTACTGTGCCAGTACAGGTCCCCCTCAACATTCACGTTTTCAACTTTCACGGGCTTCACACATTCGCAAATTCCCAACCGCCAAATTCCCAACCGCCAAATCATATTTAAGTTTCCCGCCACCTGCGAGTCCCTACTACCCTCCCTCCGACCCCCGCAACTGGCAGCCAGCCCTCCCACTGCTCAGTGTGGTGAGTGTTTTGTTTGTTCATTATTTGCTATTAAACTACAGTATAAATAATGTAAACCCATTCATGACTGCATATTGGAATGGCTATTCGGACAGGTATTAGACAGTGACATCATGTGTTTACTCTTGAACACTGCAAAGAATTAAACATTTCTGCTACAGCTAATAATAACAATAGTAATAATAATAATAATAATAAATATGATATAATTGAAGAAGGAAATTGTACAAAAATACGAGGGAGTGGTTGACACATCGTCAGTGTGACTTTGTTTATGCTGGAATGAACATTAGTCTCCCTGCTCTTCCAAACATTTCACAATAATTCATTGTGTTTGGTGCTTGTAGATTGAGTGTGACTGGAGTAGTAGAGGCAGTGATTGAGGCAATGGTATTTAATAACATACATGTTAATAATAATACATGTTATTAATAATATGTACTATTATTATTTATAACATATATGTTATTAAATACATACATGTTAATAATAATACATGTTATTAATAATAACATGTACTATTATTATTTATAACATAATGTTATTAAATACCACTGCCTCAACCACTGAATTATTGTGAAATGTTTGGAAGAGCAGGGAGACTAATGTTCACTCCAGCATAAACAAAGTCACACTGACGATGTGTCAACCACTCCCTCGTATTTTTGTACAATTTCCTTCTTGAATTATATCGTATTTATTATTATTATTATTATTATTATTATTATTATTATTATTATTATTATTATTATTATTATTATTATTATTATTATTATTATTACTATTGTTACTATTGTTATTATTAGCAATAGCAGAAATGTTCGATTCTTTGCTGTGTTCAAGAGTAAACACATGATGTCACTGTCTAATACCTTTCCTAATAGCCATTCCAATATGCAGTCATGAATGGGTTTACATTATTTATTCTGTAGTTTAACCCTTTGACTGTTTTCGACGTATAAATACGTCTTACGAGCCAATGTTTCTGACGTATATATACTCAATAATTCTAGCGGCTTCAAATCAAGTGGGAGAAAGCTGGTAGGCCCACATGTGAGAGAATGGGTCTGTGTGGTCAGTGTGCACCACATAAAAAAAATCCTGCAGCACACATTGCGTAATGAGAAAAAAAAAACTGATCGTTTTTTTGGAATAAAACGCCGACTTTGAGGTGTATTTTCGTATAGTATTTATCGTTGTATTCGCGTTTTCATGGTCTTAGGTGATAAAATGGAAAACATATTACAGAAATAGAGATGATTTTCATTACTTTTACGATGAAAACGACCTTGAAACTGAGCTCAAAGTAGCGGAAATGTTCGATTTTTCCAATGTTCAAGAGTAAATAAATCACACCACACGTCCAATACACGTCAACTGGGGAGTCTAATATTCTTTCACTAGTGCACTGATATTATTTATACCATTTTTATAATAATGCAGTGTCTGCATAACAGTAAATTTTGTATTTTTTTGTATGAATAAAAAATCAAAATAGAAAGCAATAATAATATAAGAGGGGCCTAGAGATGTGACTAATGAACAGAGCATATGTTATTTTAGTGCCACGAATGTCTACCATGTTTATTCTGGACCCTATTTTGAAATTGGCATCTTTTTTATTTCGCATGAAATTGGCCAAATTGCCAATTTCTGACCACCATATGGGTAGTTCAAATTAGTAAATGGAGGTTTCTTGTACTCAGCTGATAGATAAAATGGAGTTCTAAAGAAATAGCTATGAGTTTGGTCAACTGGAACAATGGAATTGGCTGAAAATAGGGCTCAAGTCGGCGAAATCGCCGATACGCATATGTCGCCGAGACCGCTAACATCGCGGGAGCATAATTCCACGAGTTTTCGACCAAATTTCGAACTTTTGGTGTCATTACCATCGGGAAAAGATTCTCTATCATTTCATAAGAAAAAATAATTTTTTTTTTTTTCAAAAATTGAGCGACATAGAATGACAGTTTCAGAGAGGGGCCTGAAACAGTCAAAGGGTTAATAGCAAATAATGAACAAACAAAACACTCACCACACTGAGTGGTGGGAGGGCTGGCTGCCAGTTGCGGGGGTCGGAGGGAGGGTAGTAGGGACTCGCAGTGGTGGAGGCATTGGTGGAGTCTGTGGTATTTAATAACATACATGTTATTAAATAACATATGTTATTAAAGCATAACATGTATATATTTAGTACAATTTACGACGTTTTCATGTATTTTATGATTATTCATGGTTCAACAAGTTAAGGAAGCAGTATTGTAATATATTTCCCTACAATATATTGGGGCACCAAACATTCACGGTTTTTCAACATTTGCGAGACTCTTGATCCCCTAACCCTCGCGAATGTTGAGGGAGACCTGTATTATGTAATTTATTCTTGTGTTTTTGCCTTTAATGATTTGCTTTGTATTACAATATCTGTTCACATTATTTTAGCTGTTACATCTGATGGCACTATCATTGATTGCGGTGGTAGTGGTTCACCCAGAAAAGCTTACTCAGAGTGGTGGCCCTCTTGGAGGTCTTGGATCAGGGGATGAGCTGTCTGTCAATCCACAAGATGTAAAAGCTGTCAATTGCGCAGAGATGCCTTGTACTTTGGCTGCCCAGGGTGATGGTAGTACAGATGCAGCTGTTACTGACTTTTCCATTTCCTTGGGGAACTTGATAACAACACATCGCCTCAATACTGGTAAGTTTTTTTTTTTTTTTTTTTTTTTAACACGTCGGTTGTTTCCCACTGAGGCAGGGTGACCCAAAAAGAAAGAAAAAACTAATCATCATTCAACACTTTCACCATCATTCATACATCATCACTGTCTTTGCAGAGGCGCACAGATACAACAGTTTAGATGTCACTGGTAAGTATCTTTGTGAAATATTGGTAATTTTTTTTATCAAAGGTGTATGGTTCACATTTTTAAACATTAATTTTGTGATTGGGCAAAGACAGTTGCACAGGTTTTGAGAGAGATTTATTAAAACTAAGCCAGCATATAAGAGAATATATAGTTGTATGATGGAAAGGACTCAGGCATTTGGGTAACGAGATGGTTAAATGTTTAGAAAGTCATATGTAAGGAATAACCTGGGTCCTGGGAAAAAATGTAGCCTCAAGCAATTATAAAAATTATAAAGGTTAAATAATAAACAATAAGGAAATAGTCTAGGCATGCTGATGAGAAGAGTTAATTTGTAGAGTGACTGCAAGTGAATAAGCAGCTGATATAAGAGAATGTTAGGTAAAGTTAAGAAGCTGAAAGATGAACCTCTCCCTTCAAAGGGGCACCTTGATGTTAGCAAACTGCTTGTGATTCAGGGAAGTGCAGCTCCTTTGATCAAATCTGATTACATACCATTTTCCTAGACTGCATGATTTTAGAGGTTTAGCACCTACCATGATAATAGGGATGGGGATGTTACTGTTGGAGAGTAATGTGAATTGTGATGTTGGCACACTTGTGGCAGGACAGTGGTTGGTTGAATGAATGAAAATTTAGGTACTGTATGTATGTTGTTCATTAAAACAGTAAATACTGTATTGAGAGGTACAGTAAATACAGTGCAGGTAGGGGTATGACTTACTTAAAAGAACTAAAATTTACTGAGGATTATTGTAAAGTGCATAGTTTATTATTATTATCACTCTGGCCGATTCCCACCAAGGCAGGGTGGCCCGAAAAAGAAAAACTTTCACCATCATTCACTCCATCACTGTCTTGCCAGAAGGGTGCTTTACACTACAGTTTTTAAACTACAACATTAACACCCCTCCTTCAGAGTGCAGGCACTGTACTTCCCATCTCCAGGACTCAAGTCCGGCCTGCCGGTTTCCCTGAACCCCTTCATAAATGTTACTTTGCTCACACTCCAACAGCACGTCAAGTATTAAAAGCCATTGTCTCCATTCACTCCTATCAAACACGCTCACGCATGCTGCTGGAAGTCCAAGCCCCTCGCACACAAAACCTCCTTTACCCCTCCCTCCAACCTTTCCTAGGCCGACCCCTACCCCGCCTTCCTTCCACTACAGACTGATACACTCTTGAAGTCATTCTATTTCGCTCCATTCTCTCTACATGTCCGAACCACCTCAACAACCTTTCCTCAGCCCTCTGGACAACAGTTTTGGTAATCCCGCACCTCCTCCTAACTTCCAAACTACGAATTCTCTGCATTATATTCACACCACACATTGCCCTCAGACATGACATCTCCACTGCCTCCAGCCTTCTCCTCGCTTGAACATTCATCACCCATGCTTCACACCCATATAAGAGTGTTGGTAAAACTATACTCTCATACATTCCCCTCTTTGCCTCCAAGGACAAAGTTCGTTGTCTCCACAGACTCCTAAGTGCACCACTCACCCTTTTTCCCTCATCAATTCTATGATTCACCTCATCTTTCATAGACCCATCTGCTGACACGTCCACTCCCAAATACAGTGGACCCCCGCTTAACGATCACCTCCAAATGCGACCAATTATGTAAGTGTATTTATGTAAGTGCGTTTGTACGTGTATGTTTGGGGGTCTGAAATGGACTAATCTACTTCACAATATTCCTTATGGGAAAAAATTCGGTCAGTACTGGCACCTGAACATACTACTGGAATGAAAAAAGTTCGTTAACCGGGGGTCCACTGTATCTGAATACATTCACCTCCTCCATACTCTCTCCCTCCAATCTGATGTCCAATTTTTCATCACCTAATCTTTTTGTTATCCTCATAACCTTACTCTTTCCTGTATTCACTTTTAATTTTCTTCTTTTGCATACCCTACCAAATTTATCCACCAGTCTCTGCAACTTCTCTTCAGAATCTCCCAAGAGCAGTGTCATCAGCAAAGAGCAACTGTGACAACTCCCACTTTATGTGTGATTCTTTATCTTTTAACTCCACGCCTCTTGCCAAGACCCTCGCATTTACTTCTCTTACAACCCCATCTATAAATATATTAACCACGGTGACATCACACATCCTTGTCTAAGGCCTAATTTCCCTCTTTCCTACATACTCTAACTTGAGCCTCACTATCCTCGTAAAAACTCTTCACTGCTTTCAGTAACCTACCTCCTACACCATACACCTGCAACATCTGCCACATTGCCCCCCTATCCACCCTGTCATACGTCTTTTCCAAATCCATAAATGCCACAAAGACCTCTTTAGCCTTATCTAAATACTGTTCACTTGTATGTTTCACTGTAAACACCTGGTTCACACACCCCCTGCTTTCTTAAAGCCTCCTTGTTCATCTGCTATCCAGGAGAAGTGCATAGTATGCACAGCATTTTGAACAGAACTAACACTACTACAAAAGCTTAATTTTTAAGTTTGTACGGTTATTAGGATATAGATAATCTTGTGTGATCTATTGAATAAAGCTTATGTTTGTTAACGAAATGATTTTCTTAGTTTCTGTCAACGAACCAGCCGTATCCCACCGAGGCAGGGTGGCCCAAAAAGAAAAACAAAAGTTTCTCTTTTTAAATATAGTAATTTATACAGGAGAAGGGGTTACTAGCCCCTTGGTCCCGGCATTTTAGTCACTTCTTACAACACGCATGGCTTATGAAGGAAGAATTCTGTTCCACTTCCCCATGAAGATAAGAGGAAATAAACAAGAACAAGAACTAGTAAGAAAATAGAAGAAAACCCAGAGGGGTGTGTATATATATATGCTTGTACATGTATGTGTAGTGTGACCTATGTGTAAGTAGAAGTAGCAAGACGTACCTGAAATCTTGCATGTGTATTTATTTATTTATTTATTTATTTAATGTCTTTGCAAACAGTACATTGAGATTGTGTATAAACAATAGTGGGATGCAATGCAAAGAGAGCCTCTATTATGCCTAGGCATTATGGGCCAACTTAACATTATTGGCTTATATTGTACTTAATACTAAGTAGTAGTATATCATAGTTGTACAGTAGGGAAGTAATTATTTCATAGTTGTACAGTAGAATATTAATTATAAATGAATCAAAAATTTGTATAATACAAAGACTTTTTTTTTTTCTCAACAAGTCGGCCGTCTCCCACCGAGGCAGGGACACACAGGGTGACTCAAAAAAGAAAGAAAATCCCCAAAAAGAAAATACTTTTATCATCATTCAACACTTTCACCTCACTCACACATAATCACTGTTGTTGCAGAGGTGCTCAGAATACAACAGTTTAGAAGCATATACGTATAAAGATACACAACATATTCCTCCAAACTGCCAATATCCCAGACCCCTCCTTTAAAGGGCAGGCATTGTACTTCCCAATTCCAGGACTCAATTCTGGCTATATAAAAATAACCGGTTTCCCTCAATCCCGTCAATAAATATTACCCTGCTCACACTCCAACAGCTCGTCAGGTCCCAAATACCATTCGTCTCCATTCACTCCTATCTAACACGCTCACGCACGCTTGCTGGAAGTCCAAGCCCCTCACCCACAAAACCTCCTTTACCCCCTCCCTCCAACCTTTTCGAGGACGACCTCTACCCCGCCTTCCTTCCCCTACAGATTTATACGCTCTCCATGTCATTCTAATTTGATCCATTCTCTCTAAATGACCAAACCACCTCAACAACCCCTCTTCAGTCTTCTGACTAATACTTTTGTTAGCTCCACACCTTCTCCTAATTTCCACACTCCGAATTTTCTGCATAATATTCACACCACACATTGCCCTTAGACTGGACATTTCCACTGCCTCCAACCGCCTCCTCGCTGCTGCATTTACAACCCAAGCTTCACACCCATATAAGAGTGTTGGTACTACTGTACTTTCATACATTCCCTTCTTTGCCTCCATAGATAACGTTTTTTGTCTCCACATATATCTCAATGCACCACTCGCCTTTTTTCCTTAGCCCTTTGGGGGTTTCGGACGTACTAGTACGTCTTACGACCCAGGGTTTTTGACGTACTAGTACGCCTAAATTCTAGCGCCCTCAAATCTAGTGAGAGAAAGCTGGTAGGCCTACATATGTAAGAATGGGTCTTTGTGGTCAGTGTGCGCAGTATAAAAAAAATCTTGCAGCACACAGTGTGTAATGAGAAAAAAAATACTTTGACTGTGTTTTTGGATTAAAACAGCGACTTTGCACTGTATTTTCATATGGTATTTATTGTTGTATTCTAGTTTTCTTGATCTCATTTTATAGAATGGAAGACATATTACAGAAATTGAGATGGTTTTGACTGGTTTTACAATGAAAAGTACCTTGAAATTGACCCTCAAAGTAGCAGAAATGTTTGATTTTTACCCAAGTTCAAAAGTAAAAAAATCATGCTACGCATCCAATACACGTCAACTGGTGAGTTATTATTTCTTTCAAAAAGTGCGCTGATATTATTTATACCATTTTTACACTAATGCAGTAGTCTGCATAACAGTAAATCTTCTATTTTTTTGTGAGAATAAAAATTCAAAGTGGAGAGCAAAAGAATGTAAGAGGGGCTTGGAGACATGACTAAGGGAAAGAGGAAATGTTATTTTAGTTCCAGGAATGTCTTTCTTGTTTATTCTGGACCCTATTCAAAAATTGGCATCTTTTGAAATTTGTGTGAAATTGGCAGAATTGCTAAATTCTGACCACTTTATTGGATAGTTGAAATTGGTAAATGGGTGGTTTCTTGTACTCATTCGATAGAAAAAATGGAGTTCTAACGAAATAGTTTTGATTTTTGTCGACTAGTACACTAGAATTGGCCGAAAATAGGGCTCAAAGTGGGTAAAATTGCCGATGTGTAAACATTGTCGAGACCGCTAACTTTGCGAGAGCATAATTCCGTAAGTTTTCAATCAAATTTCGTACTTTTGGTGTCATTATGATCGGGAAAAGATTCTCTATATTTTCATGAGAAAAAATAATTTTTTCTTTTTTTTTTGAAATTTGGCTGACCCTGAGAAAAATTCTCTGAGAGGACCTGTCGACCCCCAAAGGGTTAATCAATTCTATGGTTAACCTCATCCTTCATAAATCCATCCGCTGATACGTCAACTCCCAAATATCTGAAAACATTCACTTCTTCCATACTACTCCTCCCCAATTTGATATCCAATTTTTCTTTATCTAAATCATTTGATACCCTCATCACCTTACTTTTTTCTATGTTAACTTTCAACTTTCTACCTTTACACACACCCAAACTCATCCACTAATCTTTGCAATTTTTCTTTAGAATCTCCCATAAGCACAGTATCATCAGCAAAAAGTAACTGCATCAATTCCCATTTTGTATTTGATTCCCCATAATTTAATACCACCCCTCTCCCGAACACCCTAGCATTTACTTCTTTTACAACCCCATAAATATATTAAATACAGTGGACCCCTGCATACCGTTGGCATCACATACCGTTTATTCCGCATACCGCTCACTTTAATCGCAAAAATTTTGCCTCGCATACCGCTCAAAAACCCGCTCACCGCTGTTCGTCCGAGACGCGTCCAATGTGCGCCTTAGCCAGCCTCACATGTTCCGCCGGTGGCATTGTTTACCAGCCAGCCTCCGCGGTAGCATCCAAGCATACAATCGTAACATTTCGTATTATTACAGTGTTTTTGGTGATTTTATCTGGAAAATAAGTGACCATGGGCCCCAAGAAAGCTTCTAGTGCCAACCCTACAGCAATAAGGGTGAGAATTACTATAGAGATGAAGAAAAAGATCATTGATAAGTATGAAAGTGGAGTGCTTTTCCCCGAGCTGGCCAGGTTGTATAATGAACCCCAATCAACCATCGTACTATTGGTGGTACAGCTGCTGCTGCTGCTGCACTGTCAGCTGCTGCTGCTGCTGCTGTAGCATCATCTGCTGCTGCTCCTGCTGCTGCTGCTGCTGTAGCATCGTCTGCTGCTGCTGTAGCATCGTCTGCTGCTGCTGTAGCATCGTTGCTGCTGCTGTAACATCGTCTGCTGCTGCTGTAGCATCGTCTGCTGCTGCTGCTGCTGTAGCATCGTCTGCTGCTGCTGTAGCATCATTGCTGCTGCTGTAGCACTGTTTTTGGTGTGGCTTATGAGAATATACCAAAAAAACAATTAACCCCAGAGGATTTTGCCACCCAGGATAACCCAAAAAGTCAGTGTCATCGAAGACTGTCTAACTTATTTCCTTTGGGGGTCCTTAATCTTGTCTCCCAGGATGCAACCCACACCAGTGACTAACACCCAGGTGAACAGGGAAAAATGCCCGGAAACTAGTGCTCATATTGGTGAATTTAAAGCCAGCAAAGGTTGGTTTGAGAGATTTTAAAAATCATAGTGACATACACAGTGTGATAAGGCCTGTTTGGAAGAAAATGCCAAACAGGACCCAGAGTACTCAGGAGGAAAAGCACTCCCAGGACACACTGTCTCATCTGCTGCATCTTCAATAACGGTAAGTGTCATTTATTCTTCATTTAGTAGACTAGTACATGCACAATATATACTGTGCATGTACTACTCTACTACTGTGCATGTATCCTTCTCTTTGTGTGTAGGAAAATGTATATTTCATGTGGTAAAAATTTTTTTTTCATACTTTTGGGTGTCTTGCACGGATTAATTTGATTTCCATTGTTTCTTATGGGGAAAATTCATTCGCATACCGATTATTTCGCATACCAATGAGCCCTCTTGCACGGATTAAAATCGGTATGCGGGGGTCCACTGTATATAAATATATTAAACAACCATGGTGACATTACACATCCCTGTCTAAGACCTACTTTTACCGGGAAGTAGTTTCCCCTCTCTTCTACACACCCTAACCTCAGCCTTACTATCCTCATAAAAACTCTTTACAGTATTTAGTAAATTACCACCTATTCCATATACTGTACTTGCAACATCTGCCACATTGCTCCCCTATCCACTCTATCATATGCCTTTTCTAAATCCATAAATGCAGTAAAAACTTCCCTACCTTTATCTAAATACTGTTCACATATATGCTTCAATGTAAACACTTGATCTACACATCCCCTACCCACTCTAAAACCTCCTTGCTCATCCGCAATCCTACATTCTGTCTTGCCTCTAATTCTATCAATAATAACCCTACTGTACACTTTTCCTGGTATACTCTTGCTGTATAGTCCTTGTGGCTTAGTGCTTCTTTTTTGATTATAATAATAATCCTGGTATACTCAGTAAACTTGTTCCTCTATAATTTTTACAATCTCTTTTGTCCCCCTTCCCTTTATATAAAGGGACTATACATGCTCTCTGCCAATCCCTAGGTACCTTCCCCTCTTTCATACATTTATTAAACAAAAATACCAACCACTCCAACACTATATCCCCCCTGCTTTTAACATTTCTGTCATGATCCCGTCAGTTCCAGCTGCTTTACCCCCTTTCATTCTGTGTAATGCCTCATGCACCTCCCCCACACTCACATCCTTCTTTTCTTCACTCCTACAAGATGGTACACCTCCGTGGCCAGTGCATGAAATTACCGCCTCCCTTTCTTCTTTGACATTTAAAAGTTCCTCAAATTATTCTTGCCATCTCCCCATCTACTAACTCCCCTACTCTGTTTTTAATTGACACATCCATTTGTTCCCTTGGCTTTCTTAACTTGTTTAACTCGCTCCAAATTTTTTTTTTTTTTTTCTCAACAAGTCGGCCGTCTCCCACCGAGGCAGGGTGACCCAAAAAAGAAAGAAAATCCCCAAAAAGAAAATACTTTCATCATCATTCAACACTTTCACCACACTCGCACATTATCACTGTTTTTGCAGTGGTGCTCAGAATACAACAGTTTAGAAGCATATACGTATAAAGATACACAACATATCCCTCCAAACTGCCAATATCCCAAACCCCTCCTTTAAAGTGCAGAATTTTTTTCTTATTTTCATTAAAATTCCTTGACAGTACCTCTCCCACTCTATCATTTGCTCTCCTTTTGCACTCTCTCACCACTCTCTTCACCTTTCTTTTACTCTCCATATACTACTCTACTCTTCGTATAACACTTCTTCTTTGTATGAAAATATAATGGTGTTTTCTACTGAACTAGCTGCCTCCACCAAAAAAAAAAAAAATAAAAGGAAGGGTTCTCTTTTCATTTCATTTCATTATTAAGACATCGGCTGATTCTCACCAAGGCAGGGTGGCTCGAAAAAGAAAAACTTTCATCATCATTCACTCTATCACTGTCTTGCCAGAGGGGTGCTTTACACTACAGTTATAAAACTGCAACATTAACACATTTAACACATTAACATTTCTATATGAACTTAGTTATTAAATGTTATGTAGGCCAATATGATGCATTATTATAAGAGTTTTCCAATGTAAAAAAAAAAAACTTGGAAGTAGAAAAACCACACTCCAGACTTGTTAAAGGTATGCCAAAGGTATTGTTAGATAGTGAGTGGACATAATAGTTTTTGGAATTTGATGTCTGTTGGAATGTGAGCACAGCAGCTTTTATAAAACTGATTAGGCAGATGTCATTTTGTGGGCAAGAAATGGTGTCCACATTAAGGGATGAGTGGGGATGCTATGTTTTGGATTCCCTTTCTCTTCTAGAAAGACATCTAGGAAATGAATGATGGTGAATATATTTTTTTTTTTCTGCCCTACTGTAGTGGTCATGATTATCGTCTTAAAAATGTGGTTGAAATGTATAAGTTTATAAAGTAATGAATTTGGTCTTTGATATTGGAGAATTAGTTAAATAATTCTTTAAGTATTCTTAAATTTTCTGTGGGGAGTGATGTACTTGTTAGGAAAGATTTAACTCTTAATTGTAGTGATATGTCGTACAGGAAGACTCGTCTATTGATACAATATGTGACATTTGTTTATACGTATAATGTATTTCCATTGTTGGATAATAAGTAATTCTCAGTATTAATTTTATCTTTACAGATGAGGTTAATGTTGCCCTCTTCATCACACTCTGTACGTTTGTGGTAACACTCTTACTGGTGTATGGAGCATTCCGTGGCCAACCTTCACATCTGATGCCATTTTTCTTTCTGCAAGTTTTTGACTTCTGTATTTCAAGGTGATTGTTTGGAAATTCTCAAATTAATGTTTTCACACCTGCATGTACACCTGTTTACACACAACTTGCCTCAAAGCAGAAGCTCTCGCAACCTGTAACTGGAGTGTAAGTATAGTTTTGGACAAATTTCTATAGCATAAATTCATAAAATAATAGGTAGGTATCAAGAAATACAGACACATGCAGATTTAAAATGCCACTATCTCTTGATATCCATGGAGCTGATGGGGGTAGTAAGGGATTTTCCCAGTCCTTTTCTTATGTGTATGTACCCCCTTTGCCTGTCAATTGATTTGAGAATTATGGCACAACCATACTGACCAGGTAGGATGCCATTTTTTTTACGGCTTGGAACACAACCCCTCAGTCAAATAGGATTTGTCAAATTTGCTCTTAGGATTTTCCACTTCCAAATCTTTCTTTGCAGACATTTGTGTGAATATTATCCAGGTTAATGATATTTGATGATTTTAGCAATTTACAGTTGGCTGTTGATTAAGACAGTAGTTATTTTCTTGAAAATAGCATCTAATCAAGAAATCATCTAAAATGAACTGCTTTTAACAAAGAAATGCAACAAAAAAGAGAAAACAATCGGTGGGCATGATTTTGCTTGAAGCTGATGTTGCTACAAGTCTATCTGTACTGCAGTACTTAAATATATTATTCTTATGGGTGTGTTGCACAGAAGAGATACACCCTTGCAACAGTAGTGTCCTTCCACTTTTGAAGCCTTGGTTTCAAGAAACCATAAGAGTTGGCCACCATGTAGTGAAATTCATCAGTTTGTTTTTGAAGATTAACTGAAAGTATTCAGGTTTAGTGTTGGGCAGTTTGGCTGAATTACATTATCATCAAATTATGAAACACATGGCACAAATAAAGTACTTTCCTGCCAGTTCCAGAGCTTGGTGGTCTGTAGGTATATACTATTTGTTGTTGGTGTCACAGCTGGTGGTAGTGTCTTGACTGGGGATGGTGTCACTACTGGTGGCATTGTCAAGGCTGATGGTGTCACTAGTGTTTGTGGTGGCACAGCTGATGCTGTTTTCATCTCTTAGTACTGTCACAGCTTGTGTTGGTGCTGTTATGTTTGTTATAGCTTGTGATGGTGCTGTTGTCACAGCTCAAATTGTTGACACACATGGTTTTCTGATACTAATGAAAGTACTAACAGTGTCAGAATCACTATCACTGATTCAACAGTATCATCCTGTCACAATTTGGTACCATAGAACAGTGAAACAGCACATGAGTGAGCCAGACCTAGGGAGATGCCGCACCAGTGTTTGTTTCATGGATGAATATTCTTCATCATTACCACTTGATTCAGCACTTTCCTTTTGCATATAGTCCTCTCCACTGTCATTATCCACATCACTTCAGTCACTATCCAGTTCAGGGGTAAAGAGCCATTGTTATTTACTTTGTTGTGCAGCAAGGTAAGAGGCGAACAGCACTTCAATATCTTGGGTTGAACTGGCACTACTTTCATCCTGGTTGTACCACTATTGCTGTCTCCTTCAAAACCAGAAAATGATCCTCCATTATCATCATCCTCAATATCACTGATGTCTGGATTGAACAGTATTTCCTGAATTTTACTACAGGGAAAGGTTGGAGTGTCAGCCAGCCACTGTCAGCCTATGCTTATTGGGTGATATTACCCATAGTGCTCTGTGCATACCCATTTTCCTAACAGGCACAAGGTAGCCAGCAACTTGAGCAACAACTGAAGCCTAACATGGCAACACACTGCAAATTTGAGGCCCAAAAAATTGCGCACTAGTACGAAATCGTAATAAAACAGTTGCAAACAAACCACGGAACAGGTGGGGTTTGAACCTGTAGCAAGTGTATAATTCAGGCATATTATAGGACAGATAGAAGAGTATTGTGGCAGATGTTGCAAGTATATGGAATGGGTGGTAGGTTACTTAATGCAGTTAAGAGTTTTTATGAGGACAGTGAGGCTCCAGTTTAGATATGTACATGAGAAGGCAATTATTTTCCAGTAAAAGCAGGCCTTAGACAGGGGTGCATGATGTTACCATGGTGGTTTAACATATTTATAAATGGGGTTGTAAAAGAAGTGAATGCTGGGATGCTGGGGAGATGTGCAGGATTAAAAGCTACAGAATCTAAAACAAAGTGAGAGTTGTCACAGTTGTGTTTTGCTGATGACAGTGCTTTTGGGACATTGCAAAGAGAAGTTGCAGAGGTTGCTGGACGAATTTAAGAGGGTATATAAAAGAAGAGAATTAAAAGTGAACATATGAAAAAACATGGTGATGAGAGTAACAGAAAATTTAGGTAATGAAAGATTGGATATCAGATTGGAAGGAGGGAATATGGAGGAATGTAGAGTGGACTTGTCGACAGATTAGTCTCTGTGAAACATGAGGTGAACTGTAAAATTGACTAGGGAAAAAGGTGCACAGTGCTTTGAGGCATCTGTGGAGATAAAGAACATAATCCATGGAGGCTAAAAGAGGAATGTATCAAAGAGTATAGAGGCACCAATGCTCTTTTATGGGTGTGAAGCCGGGGTTTTAAATGTTGCAGTGGATATATGTCTGAGGGCAATTTGGTATGAATATCATGTAATGAAAGTAGTTTATTAGATTATGTATTGGTGGACAAAAGGTTGATGGGTAGGCTCCAGGATGTACATGTTTATAGAGGGGCAACTGATATATCGGATCATTATTTAGTTGTAGCTACAGTTAGAGTAAGAGGTAGATGGGAAAAGAGGAAGGTGGCAACAACAAGTAAGAGGGAGGTGAAAGTGTATAAACTAAGGGAGGAGGAAGTTCGGGTGAGATATAAGCGACTATTGGCAGAAAGGTGGGCTAGTGCAAAGATGAGTAGTGGGGGGGTTGAAGAGGGTTGGAATAGTTTTAAAAATGCAGTATTAGAATGTGGGGCAGAAGTTTGTGGTTATAGGAGGGTGGGGGCAGGAGGAAAGAGGAGTGATTGGTGGAATGATGAAGTAAAGGGTGTGATAAAAGAGAAAAGGTAGCTTATGAGAGGTTTTTACAAGCAGAAGTGTTATAAGAAGAGCAGAGTATATGGAGAGTAAAAGAAAGGTAAAGAGAGTGGTGAGAGAGTGCAAAAGGAGAGCAGATGATAGAGTGGGAGAGGCACTGTCAAGAAATTTTAATGAAAATAAGAAAAAATTTTGGAGTGAGTTAAACAAGTTAAGAAAGCCTAGGAAAATATGGATTTGTCAGTTAAAAACAGAGTAGGGGAGTTAGTAGATGGGGAGATGGAGGTTTTGGGGTAGATGGCGAGAATATTTTGAGGAACTTTTAAATGTTAAGGAAGAAACAGAGGCAGTAATTTCATGCACTGGTCAGGAGGTATACCATCTTTTAGGAGTGAAGAAGAGCAGAATGTAAGTGTGGGGGAGGTACGTGAGGCATTACGTAAAATGAAAGGGGTAAAGCAGCTGGAACTGATGGGATCATGACAGAAATGTTAAAAGCAGGGGGGGATATAGTGTTGGAGTGGTTGGTACTTTTGTTTAATAAATGTATGAAAGAGGGGAAGGTACCTAGGGATTGGCAGAGAGCATGTATAGTCCCTTTATATAAAGGGAAAGGGGACAAAAGAGACTGTAAAAATTATAGAGGAATAAGCTTACTGAGTATACCAGGAAAAGTGTACGGTAGGGTTAAAATTGAAAGAATTAGAGGTAAGACAGAATGTAGGATTGCGGATGAGCAAGGAGTTTTAGAGTGGGTAGGGGATGTGTAATCAGGTGTTTACATTGAAGCATATATGTGAACAGTATTTAGATAAAGATAGGGAAGTTTTTAATTGCATTTATGGATTTAGAAAAGGCATATGATAGAGTGGATAGAGGAGCAATGTGGCAGATGTTGCAAGTATATGGAATAGGTGGTAAGTTATTAAATGCTGTAAAGAGTTTTTATGAGGATAGTGAGGCTCAGGTTAGGGTGTGTAGAAGAGAGGGAGACTACTTCCCGGTAAAAGTAGGTCTTAGACAGGGATGTGTAATGTCACCATGGTTGTTTAATATATTTATAGATGGGGTTGTAAAGGAAGTAAATGCTAGGGTGTTTGGGAGAGGGGTGGGATTAAATTATGGGGAATCAAATTCAAAATGGGAATTGACACAGTTACTTTTTGCTGATGATACTGTGCTTATGGGAGATTCTAAAGAAAAATTGCAAAGGTTAGTGGATGAGTTTGGGAATGTGTGTAAAGGTAGAAAGTTGAAAGTGAACATAGAAAAGAGTAAGGTGATGAGGGTGTCAAATGATTTGGATAAAGAAAAATTGGATATCAAATTGGGGAGGAGGAGTATGGAAGAAGTGAATGTTTTCAGATACTTGGGAGTTGACGTGTCGGCGGATGGATTTATGAAGGATGAGGTTAATCATAGAATTGATGAGGGAAAAAAGGTGAGTGGTGCGTTGAGGTATATGTGGAGTCAAAAAACGTTATCTATGGAGGCAAAGAAGGGTATGTATGAAAGTATAGTAGTACCAACACTCTTATATGGGTGTGAAGCTTGGGTGGTAAATGCAGCAGCGAGGAGACGGTTGGAGGCAGTGGAGATGTCCTGTTTAAGGGCAATGTGTGGTGTAAATATTATGCAGAAAATTCGGAGTGTGGAAATTAGGAGAAGGTGTGGAGTTAATAAAAGTATTAGTCAGAGGGCAGAGGAGGGGTTGTTGAGGTGGTTTGGTCATTTAGAGAGAATGGATCAAAGTAGAATGACATGGAAAGCATATAAATCTATAGGGGAAGGAAGGCGGGGGTAGGGGTCGTCCTCGAAAGGGTTGGAGAGAGGGGGGTAAAGGAGGTTTTGTGGGTAAGGGGCTTGGACTTCCAGCAAGCGTGCGTGAGCGTGTTAGATAGGAGTGAATGGAGACGAATGGTACTTGGGACCTGACGATCTGTTGGAGTGTTGAGCAGGGTAATATTTAGTGAAGGGATTCAGGGAAACCGGTTATTTTCATATAGTCGGACTTGAGTCCTGGAAATGGGAAGTACAATGCCTGCACTTTAAAGGAGGGGTTTGGGATATTGGCAGTTTGGAGGGATATGTTGTGTATCTTTATATGTGTATGCTTCTAGACTGTTGTATTCTGAGCACCTCTGCAAAAACAGTGATAATGTGCGAGTGTGGTGAAAGTGTTGAATGATGATGAAAGTATTTTCTTTTTGGGGATTTTCTTTCTTTTTTGGGTCACCCTGCCTCGGTGGGAGACGGCCGACTTGTTGAAAAAAAAAAAAAAAAAAAAAAAATCATGCAGAGAATTTGTAGTTGGGATATTAGAAGAAGGTGCAGGGGTTACTAAAAGTATTATTCCAAGGGCTGAGGAGAGGTTATTAAAGTGGGTTGGACATTAAAGAGGATGAAGTAGAATAGGATTATTTGGGGAGGTTTATATATCTGTAGTGGAGGGAAGGAAGGAAGGGTAATGATACGCTGTATAATTGCCTACTATACCACCATCAACCTGGGAGAAGCTGGTTGCTGACTGTTTGTGTGCATGCTCATTCATTCGTTCTTCCACAAACTGGGAAGTTGGACTTGATACAGAGTAAGATGTGGTGGCCCTAAAACCACCCAAGAACCAACAGTGCAACAGACATTCACTACACAATTTTCTCTTTTAAAATAGGCTGAAAGTGACTGAGATTTTTATTCGCCTTTAATTCCTTGTTCATTCTTGTTGCCATAGAAGTTTGAATAAAAGGTTGATATGGTCTTATTGAATCACAAACTTGACAGGGTAGTATGCTATGTTTGATTCATTGAGCCCAAACATGGGAGTAGTCTGCATCATATGACCCACCTCAGATTATGTCTGATACTGTACGTCACTTCGATTTTCTCCTAAATTATAATAGTTTCATGCTTCTTATTCTTTTTGGCACCATCATTACTAGTATTCCTTTTGGGTGCCTTGGCTAATATCCAGAGAAGAGATTGGGGGGCTGCTGATAATTTCCAGAATTGAGGCTACATAGATGGGCTGATTAAAGAGTGGAATTATGATGACTCTGTGAACAATGGCATCACACACTGGTGTGAATGGAAAATTTCTAATGTGATTCCATCAGTAGTTTCTGCATGTGCAAATGGAAGAGTAAATTCAAATTAAATTACAGTGTATCAGCGAATTGCATTATTGGATTTGAGTTAAATTTAGATTTAGAAAGGAGATAGGCAAGTACAGCCTCTCCTCACTTAATGACAGAGTTCTGTTCCTAAGACCACATTGGTAACTGAATTCATTGCTAAGTGTGGAGCATACATACTATAATAGTAGTAGGTTTGTGTCTACCATCTTTGATGTTTTAATGTCACCTTTGCACCATTTATAACATATATGGTATATTTTAAATGAACAGAATAAAAATAAAAAATAGAGAAAATCAGCTCTAATATACATTATTTAGGTATGCATACTGGTCAGAGACCCGTCACAAGTCCAAGTTGTCGGTAAACGAGTATGTTGCTAAGTGAGGAGAGGCTGTACAGGTTTTGAAAGAGTTGTCAGTGGACCAGCATAACTCGAATCAGCATGGTTGTAGAGAAGGACAATGATGCCCATCACAGCTGCTGAGCCATTATGACAGAATTACAGCGATGTTGGAAGACAACCAAAATGCAGATGTAATTTACACAGATTTTACAAAGGCTTTTGACAAATGTGATTATGGAGTGATAGCGCACAAAATGAGGGCCAGGGGCATTACAGGGAAGGTAGGCAGACGGATTTTTGGGTTCCTAACACAAACAAAAAAAGTAGTGGTAAACAGAGCAAAATCCAGCATCAGCAAGGTAAAAAAAAAAAGCTCAGTGCCCCAAGGCAATGCCATGGCATCTCTTCTGTTTCTCATCCTCATAGCAGACGTAGATAAAAACACCCATCACACTTTTGTATTGTTTGCAGATGACACTAAAATAAGGATGAAAGTCACTATGGTTGAGGACACTGAAAAATTACAGGAAGACATAAGCAGAGTTTTCCAATGGGCAGTGGAGGACAATATCACATTCAGTGGTGATAAGCTCCAGCTGCTCAGGTATGGAAAGAATGAAGAACTCTAAAGAAACACAATACAGAATTCAAGAGGGTCACCAAATAGAACGAAAGGAACATGTAAAAGACCAGGGAATAATTGTATCAGCTGACCTTTCTTTTAAAGGCCATAACGAAACAAAGATCATGACAGCCAGGAAGATGACGGGGTGGGTATTGAGAACTTTCAAAACAAGGGAAATAATGCCAATAGTGACACTCTTCAAATCGCTAGTGCTCCCATATTTAGAATATTGCTCCATGCTGATGGCTCCATTCAGAGCAGGAGAAATATCAGAGCTGGAAAAAGTACAGATATCATTTATGGCTCACATTGAGCCGTAAAGCACCTAAATTACTGGGAAAACCTTCAAGTCTTGAACATGTACTCATTGGAGTGGAGGAAAGGTACACGATAATAGATGTACCTGGAAAGTACTCGAGAGCCTGGTCCCAAATCTGCACACTGCCATAACAAAATACTGGACTGAGAGATAATGGGAGAAAGTGCAAAATAAACCCAGTGAGGAGCAAGGATGCAGTGGGGACAAAGAGGGAACACTGTATTAACCCCTTGACTGTTGCAACCCCAAATCCTGAGGTGTCTCCTTGTGTCGCAAAATTTCTGGAAAAAAAAAAAAAATCTTATGAAATGATAGAGAATCTTTTCCCGATTGTAATGACACCAAAAGAACGAAATTTGATGGAAAAATGACGGAATTATGCTCTCGAAAAGTTAGTGACCTCGGCGATTTTGCCCACTTTGAGCCCTATTTTCGGCTAATTCCATTGTTCCAGTCGACCAAACTCATAGCTATTTCTTTAGAACTCCAATTTTTCTATCGATTGAGTACAAGAAACTGGCCATTTACTGGTTTCAACTACCCAGTAACGTGGTCAGAAATTTGCAATTTGGCCAATTTCACGAAAATTAAAAAATATGACAGTTTCAAAATAGGGTCCAGAATGAACAGTGCAGACATTCCTGGCTCTAAAATAACACTTTCTTTGTTCATCAGTCATATCTCCAGGCCCCTCTGATATTACTCTTGCTTTCTATTTTGAATTTTTATTCAAACAAAAAATAGAAGATTTACTGTTATGCAGACTACTGCAATATTGTAATAATTGTATATATAATGTCAACCCATTCATGACTGCATATTACAATGGCTACTTGGGCATTTATTGGAAAATGACATCATTTGTTTACTTTTGAACATCAGTAAAAATCAAACATTTCCCCTATTTTGAGCTCCATTTCTAGGTTCTTTTCATAGTAAAACCAATCAAAATCACCTCTGTTTCTATAACATGTTTTCCATTCTCTCAAATGAGACCAAGAAAACGAGAATACAACCATAAATACTATACGAAAATAGACCACAAAGTCGGCATTTTAATTAAAAAAAAATGGTCGTTGTTTTTTTCTCATGCACTGCATGCTGCAGGATTTTTTTATATGGTGCACACTGACCACACAAACCCATTCTCTCACATATGGGCCTACCAGCTTTCTCCTGCTTGATTTGAAGCCGCTAGAATTTGAGTATATATACATCAAACACGGTGGCTCGTAAGACGTATATATATGACCAAAACAGTCAAAGGGTTAACATTCGGGGTCCCAGACTATTTAACATGGCTGGAACAAGTGTAGAAGCCTTCAAGAGGAAACTGGACAAGTATCTTCACCAGGTGCCAGATCAACCAGGCTGTGATGGATATGTGGGGCAGCAGGCCTCCAGCAGCAACAGCCTGGTTGACCAGGCAAGCACCAGATGAGCCTGGCCCATGGCTGGGCTCTGAGAGTAGTGAAACTCAAAACTCTCCAAAGGTAAGGTAAGATGGAACAATCTTCCGAGTAGGGTGATAGAGGCTAGGACCCTAGGTAGCTTTAAAAAGAGCTGCTTAAAACAACTATAAACAACATTGCTTGAATATTGAAGGTTGGGTGTGGGGATGTTGCATTTCGGTGACGTAGTATCAGAACATGACGTGTGCCGCTCTAGAAAGTCAGCTAGGTTATGAACGATGGTGAGTGTTCTTCACATGATCATCCAGCATTGAAAAGAAATAGCCAGCAGTTAAAAAAAAAAAAAAACTTGGCTATTATTAAACTAATTTGCTTGATGCTGTTTTGATGTGCTTCATAATTTTATTAATATTGTTAATCATAGTTTCTCAAAACAAATGGTGTGCATTGCAAGATATTCAGTTGTAGAAAAGCAAGAATACTTTCCATTATCACCCTTTTGTGATTACTCATTATGGTATTTAGTTACATTTTTGTTTTTTACATGTATGTGCCAAATGTTTCATGAATTGTTTTTGGTTCACAGCATGACAATGATTGGTTACTTGTCATATCTTCCAAACATTCGTCAGCTGATCCGTGAGACTCCAGCATTTCCCTTCCAGCAACAACTTCTGTCGATGAATACAAAATGCCTGACATTTTTTGCAATGCTCATCTTCATCACAACTCTAATGACAAAGGTTGGTGACTTTCCCTCAAAGCTGATGAGGAGGACTGTGATGGCTATAAATAATTTGGAATGGACCTTGCATTCAAGATTTTTTCATGTTGCAGTGTAAAAACTGTTGTAGATAAAAATAAAGGTTAATGGACAAGAAATAATAGAATGACGTTACCTTTGTTTTTCATTTTTCTATGCCATCATCTTCATCCTTTTTCTCCCTGCCTCTGTTTTTTACCCTCTCATCATCCTTTCTTCCTCCATACACACCTACCATCCAACTTACAACCAAGCTTGGTTCCAGCTAACCACTCGTAAGTCAGGATGGACATAAGTCTAACCTTACTGCTGAATATCAGCATCACATTAAGTAATGATTTTATTTTATTGTTTTATTTTGGTATTTCATTTTTTACTTTACTTTTTATGCTGTTAGTACTGTATTTTATACTGTAAGGTTTAGGAGAAACACTGTACAACACAAACAGTTGTTTATTTCCCAGAACATTTGCATACGAAACATGGTCATAAGTCAAGTGGTCATATGTCGAGCAGGTCGTAAGTCAGATGGTAGATGTATCTCTTTCTTTCATCATAAAATGATAAACCTCTTATGAACATGCCTATAAATACAATCAAAATACATACAGTATATGCAAAAGTGGATGAATTTGGGATGGTATGTATTGGCAGTTTGGAGGGACATCTAAACTGTCGTATCTGAGTGCCTCTGCAAAGACAATGATTATGTATTTGTGATGGTGATACTGTTGAATGATGAAAATTTTTTCTTTCTTTTTGGGTTTTCTTTCTTTTTTGGGTCACACTGCCTTGGTGGGAAATGGCCAATGTGTTTTAAAAAATGTAAAAAAAAAAAAATTAAAAATGAGTATAAGAAAGAGCAAGGTGATGAAAACAACAAAACAAGCTAGGTAATGAATGATCAAATTGGAGGGAGGGAGCATGAAAGAAGTAAGTACATTCAGAAATTTGGGAATGGACTGATCAACAGAGGGATCTATGAAAGATAAGGTGAACTATATAATATGAGGGGAAGATGAGTGGTGTGGTGAGGTATCTTGGAAACAAAAACCTTCCACCTCAGTGCAAGATGGCCAATGTGCTAAAAATAAAAATTGGCATAAAAGATCCTCGCCCAACAAAAATTACCTCACAAAATGCTTCATTTGAACTGTAAAATTTTAGAATTCCCTGTGTGTGTGAGAGAGAGAGAGAGAATGAGAGAGAGAGAATGAGAGAGAGAGAATGAGAGAGAGAATGAGAGAGAGAGAATGAGAATTGCCATTTGTCATTGGCACTTGTCAGTAGAAATGGGCTGTGTTGTGTGCGCCAGTAGTTTGTCATGTTGCATTGGTACGTGTATAGTACATTCGTAACTGTCTTGAGTGTTTTCACTATATGCCTTTACAGACAGACACTGCAAATCACTTAGCTGTTGGGTATCAGCACCTGAAGGCCAGTTCAGTTCAAATTTTGGAGCCATAGTGTGGACGTATTACTGGCACTGCAACTCACTGTATACATATACCACTTCTGTACAATAAACAACAAAACTGATATCAGTTATTCACTTTCTATCAA